TTTAATGCGACAGGAGACTATACAGTACATTTGAACTAACATTATCTAAGCAGGTAGTGGTTACTGCAGTTTGTGAGTTTTGTTTCATATCTATATCTCATCATTCAAAACAAAGTTGTGTGCATGTTTTTATTGCCTGATTTTGTGTTGGGGTTGGTTGAGTCTGTATATCGGCAAATACAAAGTTATCACCATGGTGACATAATTTGATTATTAATTACCAAATATGTGGGAAAGTTGCTAGTCTAGTAACACAGATCCTTGGAATAAGGTGGTTTGACTATGTCACTGTCAATCCAGATATATTATTCAAATTAGTTGATTTATATTCCTCCTGTATAGAAGGATGTTGTTGATACTTGACAGTACCTGTGAGATACCACATGCCACACCCATATCTGGAGTGAGTATTACAGCTGATGACAGCTTGGTGTTGAGCTAGGCCTATACTTAGTGGCCATATCATTACTCATGTTTACATGACTGTGTACAAGTAGAGCTGGACGTCAACCGTGTGAAGTCATCCTGTATTTAAGTTCCTCCATCTAGTTGTGAATTTCGTAGGAGTAACTACTAGTAACTAGTGTTGTCAAGGATAAATAGGAAGGAATTCCAAGTCATCATGACTAAGATGAAAGCTCTAACATGTTTTCCTGTCCATGCCACTATGCAGGGATAGAAATGTAATACATTTTAAATGTAACCTAGATAATGAACCATTTCTAATCTTTAATGTTTGTTCTCACAATATCACTATCATTTTATATTTGTAAATCTCAGGTATATTAAGTCATACTGTGAATGAGATGTATTCATTTGTTTACTCGCCATGTTTGTCCAGTTAACTGTGGGAAAGAACATTTTTGACTCACTTAATGCACATAGAATGAGAAACACTGTCAAAGTACTTGTTCTAACAGATTATAGGATTTCTGAATGAGTTATTTAGCTATCAGTGACTAAGTTTAACCTCTCTATTATGATTTTAGCTATTGACACTTTTATACAAGTATTTGAGAACTCAGCTATGTTTAAGATGATTTAAATACAAATAGGACTATAAGCATAACTAACTTCACAATAAGTTTATGTAAGTTGAGCCAACACATCTGGTCAGTTTTTAATTTGTTGGTCAATAAACTGAATTACATCAATCAGCATAAACGTCACAGTAAAAAGGGCAGCTATTTACAACTGATGTAATCTTGATATTGTCTACTCTTCTACATGATTTATATCTTGAGATATGAATTTACAAAAAATTCTAATTCAACATCCTAAAAAAACAGTGTACAATATGAAAGAAATATGTTATGGTTAATGAAGACTTTTAGAATAAAAGAAAAGTTTCATTGTTAATAGTGGTCCTCAGTTGAAAGAAATGTATCATGGTGATTAAAGGTTCACAGTTTAAAAGAATATATCTTGATTAAAAAAAGCCCTTGGTATAAATCTCGACATTTGCCACTTAACGTTACCTTCTTGTAGTTGATGACCATTGTGTAATGCTTGTTCTGGGAAGTAGCCACAGTCTGACTTCGATTCCGTGACGCATCTTCATTCATCATTGTCAGCCTTCTTCGATTCTTTATGGCAGAGATATCCAAACAACTCAAAGAAAATCCAAGCTCTGAAGCTAACACTGCTAGGACAAATCCAGATACGTTTTACTGTTGTCTGTAACGTTCGACGACGGCACCTGTAATGTCCATACCTGGAGGTGTCTGCAATGTTAACCGACTTTTAGTGCCAACGTCAATGCCAGTGATTCCGGCCAGTTCAGGTCACCACCCTGGAAAATACCATGTTCGAGAAATTGACACAAATTATCATGCCTCTGACATACAGTTTCTTTGTGTTCTGTACAATCCCAGTTTTAGTGATAACCCGTTCAAGCTGATATAATCCCCCTGACTACTATGTAATTACATTACTGGGCAGTTTGGGCTTATGTAATGGAGTTTTGCCACATGCACGGACCATTGATTGGTGATGGGAGTTCTCTGCCCTTATTCTGACCTCTCCATAGTTAAAGGTAGAGATGTCTTGCATGAATTCCAGGATCTCATCTCGTGTGGTTGGAACTGGTGTTAGGTGGTAACAGCTGGTGTTAGGTTCGGATTAGTAATGAAATCCAATTATCACATGTCATTGTGTCCTGACTCGAGGAAATGAAACCACGGAGAAAGCATTTCATGCAATTAACTTCGTTTCTGTTACATGCCTGGAAGTATCAGAATTAATGTCATACATCTTATGAAATAACCAATCATGGATGTCCCTGTTCAACTGATGCTGTATGACGGACAAATGTCTGACAGCTTTAATCAGGACAGTTTATGTTTTACACTTGTTCAGCATGATCTGTGTATGGACTTAATGTAACTTAGTTTTGGCTTCAGGCTGTATGGTTGTGGTTAATGGTGGCAAGCTAATTCAATCCAAATGTTATCATAACAGTTAATATGGTCTGGGTGTTTTGTTTGGCATCTTTGTCATATTTGATGAACATTCATGGGCGGATCCAGAGGGGGTAGCAGGGGTGCGCAGCTCCCATTTTGTCCTGAAAGTTTATTAAATGACCATTGAAACTCGGATGAAAATGAAGTGTGCACCCCCCTTTTCTCAGGACTGTGCCCCCCCCCTTTTTTTTTTTCCGAAAAAGCTGTAATAGCCCCTGACATTGCTCTTAAAAGCTATTTACTAAAGCTTAGATTAGATACATTATCATCATTTGTTTTAGGCAGTTTTCTTGTGTAACATAGGAATTGGAGTTCTATTGGTGGCTTAAGCTGGAAACATTATTAATATACTTGACTGGTTTGTCATACTCATTGTCTGCATAGGACAAGGGTGGCCTTGTGGATTAGGCTTTGAGGTTTGTTGTACAGAGTTGTGTCCCTTAGTTGTGGCATGATCTGCTTGTAAAGAGCATGACTATTTACTATGGTCTGTGGTCTGAGAGAACTATGATCTGTGAGTTCAATAAATATTGATCGCTTCTGAAAGATGTATCACATACACTTTAAGATGCCCCCTCCTCCAATAATCACTAAGTCCAGAGAGTTCTTGGACATGAAACTGTGAATACAGGTATTAAAACTTACTTTTGAAAATTTCTTGATGATTACAGAAAATATTTTGTTTGCTTGGGTGAATAAAGAATAAAAGAGTTTTGTACTGGTTTTCTTCTTTTGGTGTCAGGTAAGATGCAAATGTTTAAATTTATTCAATTATCAGCTTAAGTTAATAGACATATTTGGAAAAGAGCCCTTCTGAAAAAAAAATTCACAGTTTTTACTACATCTCTATCACTCTCTACTCATAGCTGACCTAGATATTAATGCTTGATCCTTGCAGAACGAACAGAATTATTTTTCATTGTAGGTTTATTTCCTACTGTTTTATAATGTAAGATGACAGTGTATAAATCTGACAACCATTGAGTTGTTATGAGGACCCGAGCTCAGTACTAGTGCTTCTTATTAGCAGCTCAGGTGCGACAGTGAAGGCATCATTAACACCTGGTCAGGTAATTTGTTAACGAAGTAGGAAGCGCATCAGGTGTGTAATGGGAACTGGGAGTCAGGTTGCAGCATTGGAGGATCATTGTCTAGGTGTCAGAAGAAATATGTTGGGCTTTCATTTTGCGTTCAATTGTTTGAATAACAGTTGTTATGTTGTCTTCTCTGGTAACTTTTCTGATAAATCACATAATTTATTAGCATCTGTATAGATAAAAGTATTTATGTAGCAGCAGGGGCATAAGATTGGTTGGGCTTAAAAGCTGGAAGTGGTGAGAGTTTCTTTCAACAAAGAAAGAAATGTATCTTATGTTGCCTTCTCTGGGAACATTGATGGTTATGGTGGATCAGTGGTATTTTCAGTTTACCGATTTGTCAAAACCTGGTTATCAACCACTTAACATTGATAATATAATGCTAATCATGTACTTTATTATCATCTATATTGGTAAAAATATTTATTCTTTAGCAGCTGGGGTAAAAGATTGGTTATGCTTAAAAACTGAATGAGGTGAGAATTTCTTTTAAACGGAAGAATGTATCTACTTTCTCTGCTTCCAAACTGATAAAGGAGTGGAAATTCCAGGTCTCCAGTAAGCAGGTTGTGAGAAGTGACTCAGTGAGATCGGCTAGAGAGGCTCAGTGCTCACATCGTTGCTTACAATACCAATGCTATTATTTACAGGCCGCTGGTGTTAATCCACACACGCACACACACACACCTGCACACAAATTCATGCATTCACACATACAATAAAGAAGTCAAGAATTGCAAGTATGGCATTGTACAAGACGAAGAAGAAACTCACTATTTATTAACATAGGATTACATTGTCTGCTTAATTAGCAATGTAAATAGGGTAATTTAATCTGAAATGCCCTTCTATAAACTTACAAGGCTGATAAATTGCTAGTATGTAGAGATCCTATCAAACACGCACTGTGTCAACTGTGTCAGTTTACAGAGCCAGTGAAGGATTGCTTTGTTTGTTTGTGTGTTAAATAATCTGGGCCACCCAGTCTAGTGACTGACATCATGAGCATTGAACTATGAAATTAGGATACAATGACATGTGTCAACCAAGTCGGCAAGCCTGACCACCCAATCCTGTTATCACTTCTTTTGACAAGCATGTGTTGCTGAAGACAAATTCCGACCTGGGTACCGATCCACAAAGCGTTCGTAACGTTACGACCTGACGTAACTCTATAGTATATCATAGGCTTACGAATGTCGTAGCGCTACGAACGTTTTTGTGGATCGGGACCCAGGATCTTTATGGGTTGTCTGTGTAAGAATGCTCACTAAACAGTATTGTACTATAGAGGGCAGATAATGCTTATATAGGGTGGGATACATTACATATGATGTTAGATCCCAGCGTGCTATACTGTGTCAGGAGATATATATTTGTCCTGTGTTTCGTCATGAGATAATCTGATAACATGTTGACCAGTTGATCTGTGCCATTTCAGGATGAGTATTCTGGACATCAAGCAGTACCTGGAGAAGATCTACAATGTCCCTGTGATGTGTGTTAGAACAGCAGTCAAACAAGGTGAGTCGAGTTCATTTAAGGATAAGCGGATAGCGCCAAGTTGAGATGAAAAGTGTTTTGCATGCCACATTTCATTTTGATAAATTAGATGCCATTTGCCTACTGAGGCTTGCTGCTTGGCTTTTCTTCAAGACCCAGGTAGCCTTGTGGTTGAAGTTTCTGTCTGTGGCGACAGGTGTGGTGCAGTGGTGCGCATGTGCTTATAGTGGAAGGTTGGTGCTTTGATAGTACTTGTTGGTACCCTGCCTGGTGCTTGACAGTAAGGGAATATAGCCAGGACTGGTCAGTACTTGTTGGTACCCTGCCTGGTGCTTGACAGTAAGGGAATATAGCCAGGACTGGTCAGTACTTGTTGGTACCCTGCCTGGTGCTTGACAGTAAGGGAATATAGCCAGGACTGGTCAGTACTTGTTGGTACCCTGCCTGGTGCTTGACTGTAAGGGAATATAGCCAGGACTGGTCAGTACTTGTTGGTACCCTGCCTGGTGCTTGATTGTAAGGGAATATAGCCAGGACTGGTCAGTACTTGTTGGTACCCTGCCTGGTGCTTGACAGTAAGGGAATATAGCCAGGACTGGTCAGTACTTGTTGGTACCCTGCCTGGTGCTTGACTGTAAGGGAATATAGCCAGGACTGGTCAGTACTTGTTGGTACCCTGCCTGGTGCTTGACTGTAAGGGAATATAGCCAGGACTGGTCAGTACTTGTTGGTACCCTGCCTGGTGCTTGACAGTAAGGGAATATAGCCAGGACTGGTCAGTACTTGTTGGTACCCTGCCTGGTGCTTGACAGTAAGGGGAATATAGCCAGGACTGGTCAGTACTTGTTGGTACCCTGCCTGGTGCTTGACAGTAAGGGAATATAGCCAGGACTGGTCAGTACTTGTTGGTACCCTGCCTGGTGCTTGACTGTAAGGGAATATAGCCAGGACTGGTCAGTACTTGTTGGTACCCTGCCTGGTGCTTGACAGTAAGGGAATATAGCCAGGACTGGTCAGTACTTGTTGGTACCCTGCCTGGTGCTTGACAGTAAGGGAATATAGCCAGGACTGGTCAGTACTTGTTGGTACCTTGCCTGGTGCTTGACAGTAAGGGAATATAGCCAGGACTGGTCAGTACTTGTTGGTACCCTGCCTGGTGCTTGACAGTAAGGGAATATAGCCAGGACTGGTCAGTACTTGTTGGTACCCTGCCTGGTGCTTGACAGTAAGGGAATATAGCCAGGACTGGTCAGTACTTGTTGGTACCCTGCCTGGTGCTTGACAGTAAGGGAATATAGCCAGGACTGGTCAGTACTTGTTGGTACCCTGCCTGGTGCTTGACAGTAAGGGAGTATAGCCAGGCCTGGTCAGCTCTGAGTCGGTATGCTTTGGAGGGAGGGTATGGGGTGGACTGCAGACATGTGGCTGCAGCAATAATATGACATTGCTGCTGTAAATATTCTGCTTAAAATGGCAAAAGAATAATGCTGTTGTGATATGACTGGAAAGTTGCTAGCTTAAAGGTCACATAAACCCTAGAGGGGTACAAATACATAAATCACTAACTGTCATCGTTATAAATGAAACCCGTCATTAAAACTACTCATTTCGACCTTTAATTGACTTAAATCGACCTTTTTTGACAACAGTGCACAGTTCTCACCCATGAGCGAAATTTCAACCAATCAAAGGTAGCCTCTGTGGCGTCATATGAGGAATAGTTTTGAGAGCCGATGCAGAATTCATCTACATTTTTAGGGGTAAATTATCGTGTTTACAGGCTTGTATAAACCTGAAATCGTGACAATTGTTGTGGAAAATGAAAGCTATATGTTCTCACAATCTACTGTCATTTAATTTTGTCTCCTGCTTTGCCTAGTTTCCGAGTTACAACTTGTTTTCATAGGCGATTCTGTCAAAATCGATTGGTGTCGATTAGGCCCTATTTGTATAATGACTGATCCAAATTGATCCCATTTCTGTGTTGTTTTACCTCGATATTTAATCATGTCATGTAAAATCTGTTTGTATTCTCAAAACAGTGTCGGCCCATAAGTTTTCACATGCAATACAGCAATTAATACTCCCTCGTTGTAACCCGTGTTAGGTGGTATAAACCTACACATGTTATTTGTCATCATTCACTTGATGGTCAGTTAATGAATATATAACAGGTATAATTAGTGGTAACACACTTAGATTACCCGACAAAGGTTCCCATTTGGCATTTCTTGTGTCTGGAGTAAATATTCAACATTATAAACATCGATCAAAGGATTAACCGATAACCGCTGATTGATTAATTACTTTTATCTTACACAGCGGAATTGTCAAAGGTAGTGTTTATGTATGTAGATTTACTAATCTATACTGAATACACTCTGTCGTGTCGGGTGTCTGCGTAAAAACAACGTCCTTCTTTCAAAGGATTAACTGGCAATACATTGATTGATTGCCCATTATTGGCTAACTAAATTACTGTTTTTAAAGAAAGGCAGACATTATGCAATTAGTTGCCAGGTGTGCTATCTTGGGTGACCAATGAGACTATACACCAATACCTGAAAAGATTTATCACTTTTTCAGTATATTAAACTGTTAAAAGACATTTGGAACAGTTTGTGGATATTGATGGATACATTCCTCGAACAAGGTAATGGCCTGATATTGTTCCTATAACTTTAATCTGTTTTAATTTTAATATTTGCATTTTGTATTTATTCATTTGTCGTAGCATTCAACAGAATCATTGTTTTAGCCCGTGAAGTGTAATAGGACAGACAACATGCACTAGGGTGTGTGTCGCGAATTATGATTCACATTGGCAAACTATAAAATGTCTAGATATTACAGTTCTGTTATAAATTCACTATAAGTATCAGCAGATCGTCTGCTTTTAATTTAGTTTCAAAATGCATACAAGTGTGATAATAAACTAATTAGGATTATAAGACCAAATATAAAGGCGCACATTGACTAGTATCTACATACTGGTGAGTGGACATTAACCATGTGAATGTAGCAAAGAAATTTATCGGCGCAGTATTGTGACTTCAAGCCCCCACCTGCGGCTTCCGTGGAAGAAATCGTTATGTTATAAGTTGTGTCATTGCAAAATCCGTTTGGTTATGATTCCAATACATATTTAACAACGGTAGAAAGTAGTCTTGATTTTCTAGCAGTGAAAACAAACTATAATCTCATTAATTCTAACAGATTCTTTTATTTTTAAAAATGGTGAAACCCTGTCGGGAACATCCGCCAGTCTGAGGATAAATGGTATTTAGGTTTGTTTTCACCGAGGTTACAAAATCAAAACTACTTTCTACTGAGTAATAAAATATGTATTTTATTGATGGCCAATAGGATTTTTGCATGACTTATAAGCATATATCATAACAATTTCTCTCGTGGCAGCGAGGTGGGTGTCAATATAATACTACTTACAATATTATTGTTGCCGACCACAACCTCACTTCCGGGGAAGAAATCGTTATGTTACAAGTTGTGTCATAGAAAATCTTTATGGTCATCAATCATATGCATATTTTACTAAAACTAGTAAGTAGTTTTGATTCTTTAACTTCCGTGAAGCGATCTGAACACAAGTAAGATATCGTTTCAGGCTTCCACAGCTAAAGCACTCACAAACATAACCCATTTAGCTTACGAACTGCGGGGTCCTGTGGAAATCTGTGCATGGGGACACCATCGCCCGACCCTAGGAGACAATTGGCGACAAAGCAGCGATTCGGCATGTAAGTGCGTTGATGTCGAGAAATCATCAAAATGATGGCGTGCTACACATTTTCTATACAACTAACTGAAAATCGTTCCTCATATGGCGTCACTGCAGTGCTCTGGCGACAGAGTTAGCGTAACCTGTCTGTGGTTTAAGTTGGAGCGAGAGGGAAGCGAGGCGACTTTTGGCCACTTTTAATCGCTCGGTATTAATTAACCACAAGTTTTTAAAGAATAAATTTGGTGTTCCGCATAAGACTAACCACAAATCTTTCATATGTAATAGTTAAAAGAGTAACAAAAACAAAGTTTAGTGGTTCTAGCTTAATATGATATTGCTTCAGTGATATAGCTAGAATATTGCTTCAGTGATATAGCTAGAATATTGCTTCAGTGATATGGCTAGAATATTGCTTCAGTGATATGGCTAGAATATTGCTTCAGTGATATGGCTAGAATATTGCTTCAGTGATATAGCTAGAATATTGCTTCAGTGATATAGCTAGAATATTGCTTCAGTGATATAGCTAGAATATTGCTTCAGTGATATAGCTAGAATATTGCTTCAGTAATATAGCTAGAATATTGCTATATTCCAAATTTTATCACAAAAACAGATATTCATATTTCAATTTCTGTTCTTCTTATGTGGAATCACCTATCTGTAGACCATGTAATACCAGCCCACCTGATGCCATTCAGACCAACTTGCTCTGTGTTCTTCCTCACTCTGCATCAGCCAATCGATGGCTGGTTATGTAAGGATGGCAGCGAGTCCAGTCTGGTCAATACGCTGTATAATTCACTACGAGCTGGGACCTAAGTAGGTGAAAGATGGACTGATTCACCTGGAACCTATATATTGATCTCAGTGGCAGGAGAAAGTGCAATCACTGGTTGTGTGGTCACAGGTGATGAGATCTCAGTGAGTGCGGCATTGATGGAGGTTCACAACAATAGATGCAGGACAGTACACACCGCTACAGAGAATGGCTTGTGTAAACCTCAGATTCTAGTCAATATGTTTTAGATTACGAACAAGAGGATTCACTATATGTTATTTGTCAGGGGATAGATACATTTGTTTGGAACAACTGCTGAGTGGTGTCATCGAGTTTGAAAATAGAAAATTATGATTGTGTCACGTTTTATCATGTGATATTGTAGGTTATTGATTATGAGCATGATATGTAATGTGTTATGAAACGTAATGCACTGAAAGATCAGTGAATAATGATACATACGTATGCTATTGACAGGTTAGTGTGGTTTGTTAGAAGCTTCAGGGATGTACTAACACAGGCATGGAAACAGATCCCTCACTTCCTCACTTGCCAAAACTTGTAAAAAGACTCAGGTGGCTATGTCCAATGGACACTGATTTTCAGTATCTATTGTTGACTTATTGTTTCAAAAATGATAACAATTACCTCTAGTTTCTCCAGATTCTGTATTGAAGTCGGACCTGATTGTCAGTTGACATGGGTGAAGCCATGTTTGTTTGTGAACACTGAAAGTCGTGCCCACTTGTGCACCTTAATGAGTATATGACCCCAACAGGTGCTGTTTTCATCTCATGGTTTACCCTGCTGAGAAACCTAATTAAATAATATATGTTTACTAGCAATATTCAAGCTACATTGAGTAAAAAATGTGAGGCTAAGTGCTTGAACAGCATGGACATTCAGTGACCAGGGGGTTGATAACATGGGCATATAGTCACCAGGGGGTTGATAACATGGGCATACAGTCACCAGGGGGTTGATTACATGGACATTCAGTGACCAGGGGGTTGATAACATGGACATTCAGTGACCAGGGGTTGATAACATGGACATTCAGTCACCAGGGGGTTGATAACATGGGCATTCAGTCACCAGGGGGTTGATAACATGGACATTCAGTGACCAGGGGGTTGATAACATGGACATTCAGTGACCAGGGGGTTGATAACATGGACATTCAGTGACCAGGGGGTTGATAACATGGACATTCAGTGACCAGGGGGTTGATAACATGGACATTCAGTGACCAGGGGGTTGATAACATGGACATTCAGTGACCAGGGGGTTGATAACATGGACATTCAGTGACCAGGGGGTTGATAACATGGACATTCAGTGACCAGGGGGTTGATAACATGGACATTCAGTCACCAGGGGGTTGATAACATGGACATTCAGTCACCAGGGGGTTGATAACATGGGCATTCAGTCACCAGGGGGATTGATTCAACATGGATAACATTCAGTGACCAGGGGTTGATAACATGGACATTCAGTCACCAGGGGGTTGATAACATGGACATTCAGTCACCAGGGGGTTGATAACATGGACATTCAGTGACCAGGGGGTTGATAACATGGACATTCAGTGACCAGGGGGTTGATAACATGGGCATTCAGTCACCAGGGGGTTGATAACATGGACATTCAGTGACCAGGGGTTGATAACATGGACATTCAGTCACCAGGGGGTTGATAACATGGGCATTCAGTCACCTGGGGGTTGATAACATGGACATTCAGTCACCAGGGGTTGATAACATGGACATTCAGTGACCAGGGGGTTGATAACATGGGCATTCAGTCACCTGGGGGTTGATAACATGGACATTCAGTCACCAGGGGGTTGATAACATGGGCATTCAGTCACCTGGGGGTTGATAACATGGACATTCAGTGACCAGGGGGTTGATAACATGGACATTCAGTGACCAGGGGGTTGATAACATGGGACATTCAGTGACCAGGGGGTTGATAACATGGACATTCAGTGACCAGGGGGTGACCAGGGTTGATAACATGGACATTCAGTCACCAGGGTTGATAACATGGACATTCAGTCACCAGGGGGTTGATAACATGGACATACAGTCACCAGGGGTTGATAACATGGGCATTCAGTCACCAGGGGTTGATAACATGGACATTCAGTCACCAGGGGTTGATAACATGGACATTCAGTCACCAGGGGTTGATAACATGGGACATTCAGTCACCAGGGGGTTGATAACATGGACATTCAGTCACCAGGGGGTTGATAACATGGACATTCAGTGACCAGGGGTTGATAACATGGACATTCAGTGACCAGGGGGTTGATAACATGGACATTCAGTCACCAGGGGGTTGATAACATGGACATTCAGTGACCAGGGGTTGATAACATGGACATTCAGTCACCAGAATTTGGGGGTTGATAACATGGACATTCAGTGACCAGGGGTTGATAACATGGGCATTCAGTCACCAGACCAGGGGTTGATAACATGGACATTCAGTCACCAGTTGGGGTTGGGATAACATGGACATTCAGTCACCAGGGGTTGATAACATGGACATTCAGTCACCAGGGGTTGATAACATGGACATTCAGTCACCAGGGGTTGATAACATGGACACAGGGTTGATACCAGGCATTCAGGTTGATAACATGGACATTCAGTCACCAGGGGTTGATAACATGGACATTCAGTCACCAGGGGTTGATAACATGGACATTCAGTCACCAGGGGTTGATAACATGGACATTCAGTCACCAGGGGGTTGATAACATGGACATTCAGTCACCAGGGGTTGATAACATGGACATTCAGTGACCAGGGGTTGATAACATGGACATTCAGTCACCAGGGGGTTGATAACATGGACATTCAGTCACCTGGGGGTTGATAACATGGACATTCAGTCACCAGGGGGTTGATAACATGGACATTCAGTCACCAGGGGGTTGATAACATGGACATACAGTCACCAGGGGTTGATAACACATTCAGTCACCAGGGGTTGATAACATGGACATTCAGTCACCAGGGGTTGATAACATGGACATTCAGTCACCAGGGGTTGATAACATGGGCATTCAGTCACCAGGGGTTGATAACATGGACATTCAGTGCGACCAGGGGTTGATAACATGGACATTCAGTCACCAGGGGTTGATAACATGGACATACAGTCACCAGGGGTTGATAACATGGACATACAGTCACCAGGGGGTTGACATACATAACATGGACATTCAGTCACCAGGGGTTGATAACATGGACATTCAGCACCATGATAACATTGACATACACCTGACATTCAGGGGTTGATCATGGACCAGATACATGCACCACCAGGGGGTTGATAACATGGACATTCAGTCACCAGGGGGTTGATAACATGGTCACCAGGGGTTGATAACATGGACATTCCAGTCACCAGGGGTTGATAACATGGTCACCAGGGGGTTGATAACATGATAACATGGACATTCAGTCACCATTCAGTCACCAGGGGTTGATAACATGGACATTCAGTCACCAGGGGTTGATAACATGGACATTCAGTCACCAAGGGGTTGATAACATGGACATTCAGTCACCAGGGGGTTGATAACATCACCAGGGGTTGATAACATGGACATTCAGTCACCAGGGGTTGATAACATCACCAGGGGGACATTCAGTCACCAGGAGGGTTGATAACATGGGCACACCCAGGGGTTGATAACATGGACATTCAGTCACCAGGGGTTGATAACATGGACAATACAGTCACCAGTCAGGGTTGATAACATGGAACATACAGTCACCAGGGGTTGATAGTCATGATATTATGGACATACAGTCACCAGGAGGGTTGATAACATGAACATAGTCACCAGAGGGTTGATAGCATGAACATACAGTCACCAGGGTGTTGATAACATGAACATAGTGTCAAGAGAGGGTTGATAGTATGGAAATACAGTCACCAGAGGGTTGACAGCATGAACATACAGTCACCAGAGGGTTGATAACATGAACATAGTCACCAGATGGTTGATAGCATGAACATACAGTCACCAGGGTGTTTTCTTGTACTACAGGAGAGGACATCAAGCACCCATCCAAGGGCAATGTTGTGGCTCGCGAGGATGACACCAAGGTAGCATATGTACAGCTGGTGAGTGAAGATCTTACAAGTCACACCAGATTAATAGATAACTGGTTTACACTGATTTCTTCAGATCATAAAGCATAAAAACATTGAATATGATAAAAAATAAACTTAAAGTCATTGGTTTTATTTTGCCAATGCAGTAAACCTTTTGAACATGGTACATATAACTGGTTTAGTTATTTATACTGTAACTTACAATAGGTAACACAAAGAGACAAGTTATTCTGGCATCATATTTAGCCACAGTTTTGAAAAACAAAACAATAATCTGAAAGTCCTCTTATTGACCACACATCATCGGTTCCCAATTGCGCAGATCGATGCTCATGCTGTTGATCACTGAATTGTCTGGTTCAAACTCGATTATTTACAGACCGCCGCCATATAGCTGGATTATTGCTGACTGCGGCGTAAAACTGAAAACTCACTCACTCACTCTTACTGACCACATTTTTGTAAAACAGTGTTATTAACTGTTGCATGGATTACCAAGGATGTCAACATCTACATAGAATCCAGCAGCGTAACATAGTGCATATTCACAACTAAAAGTACATAATTTCAATATTTTGTCATATTTCCTTGGCTGAAATGCCTGAACAGGTCCCCATGCATGTTAAATCTTATCAACCAGGAATGAAGTCATTCCATGATCTGGGTCATCATAGTTATTGTCAGTTTTAAAAAGTGCAATAGACATGATAGAGGCTGCACACAAGTCACAACTTTGATCTTCCTGATGGTAGACTCAGGTTTACACATTAACAAGACAATGATCCCAGGGCATTTCAGGCAAGGCCATCTTGGTTGTGGTGTTATAGCACTGGAGCTAAGTAGAGTGCTGTAATGAAGTCCATTGTCGTCCTGGTGGGTGTAATTACACTAACATTGTTTGTATGGTTGACCAGTGGGAGGAGTGATGGCTGATACTGCCGTCTGTGTCCTCAGTATCCTGTAGGGACCATCTACACAGTGATCAGGCCGATCCATTGTATTCCATACTGCTGAGTAAGGGATAATTTAATTACATTTCCTTACTTTGGTGGGTGCTCAACGTTTATATGCTGCTGCTATTTTGAGATAGATATTCTCTGGTAGTGGTACACAAAACTAATTTATAAGTACTGAACAACAACAATTAGGGATCATGAGTATATTGTTGATATGTTTATGAAGTTGTGTGTTCAATCTTCATGGCAAATATATCCCCAGAAAAAATCGAAATGATTCCATCAGTTTTTGTATAGTGAATGTACCATATTTTCTACCCACGGATAAGGCATATCATCCCTGACAGAGATTCAGTATTCAGTATTTATAGTTATTTTGTGCATTAAAAATTTTGCATATTCCTTCAGCTCACTCAGGTATATGAACAGGTGATAACAAACTTAATGTTTTGATCACATTTTTCAATTTTCCGTAATTTTGTGTCTTACAGGGAGATGGTTACACATTTGAGTTCCCAGACCTCTTTGTCGATTCGAAACCTCCAACAGAGAAAGAAGTGGATGAATTCAAGCAGACAAAACGAGACCAAGAAGTAATGGAACGGAAGTACTGGGACAGAGCCAGTTTACCCCCTTGGTTCAGATAACAACATGAACCGGATGTATGTGTGTGTGTGTTCATAGATGACTGTGTAGTGAGCGGAGACTGAACCCAGATCTGTCCTGTGATCGCAGGGTTCAGATGGCAAGGACTGAACGAGGTCAGCGGCTCCTATCTCAGGACTGAATGCTCGGTTCAGATCTGCCAGAATGAACCAGAATGAACCAGAATAGCTGGACATTCATGTGACAAATGTGTTGGCATGGTTCATCACGAGCTGCATATATCCAGTCTCTGCAGCAGGTGCACCTGATGTTGTCTCCTGCATGTATCATTCATGTAAATAATACATTCTGTAAACAGTGCCATGGTGTTGTTATTGTGTACAGTGAAACTTGGTGAAGTCATCTTAATAATTTCAGGTTTAGCCACAACAAAATATCTTCTTTTTAAAGTAATAGGGAAGCTTTTAAATATTGTATTTAAAGTGCACAAACTGTTCAAGACATGTGGAAAATACAGTCTATGGATATGATTCACATAAAGCATGGATGTTGGGTTGCTCTCAGTATAGAGTGTACTTCATCAAGTAAAGAAAGGACCATGCATGTTAATTGTTTTGGTCCTAGGTACTTGGCAACGGGAAAATTATGAAAGGCCGGGTCTTTGATAGTGTTCAGGCTGGATGAGTGAGTGAGTGAGTTTTTATGCTGCTTTCAGCAAAATTCAAACAATATCATGATCGGGGACACCAGAAATGGGCTTCACACGTTGTACCCATATGGGGAATTGAACCCGGGTCTTCTGCATGATGAGCAAACGCTTTAACCACTAAAGCTAACCCATCGCCCTGTTCTGGTATTAAAACCCTTCCGATACTAATAGTGCCGTAAAGGAACTACTTGTATTGTTTCTCTACAGTTGTCTGACCGCCTCCGTGGTGTAGTGGTTAGAGTGTCCCCTCGAGCGGAAGGTCACGGGCTCAATCCCCGACCGCGTCATATTAAAAGACGTTAAAATATGGTACTTGTTGGTCCCTGCCTGACGCTCGGCATTAATGGGTACAACAAGGACTGGTCGGCTCGGAGTCAGTATATAATGTGTCTGAGTGGGGTATTCATGCTTCACTGCCGCATGGTATCTCAGTGGGCTAGCACTATAAAACCAGCTTCAGTCTGGGCTAGTACAAGCAGCCGCACATACACATACACATGCATGCACGTCGTCATATGAGCGAAATATTCTCAAGTACGACGTAAAACCCAATTTCACCTCACCTACAGTTGTCTTTGTCATCTTTGTAAAATAGTGGATAAAGTTATTGACAACATAACCATTATTGTGCCATCAGTGTTTAAGCTAGCAACATATATAACTTGAAATATACTGATATTGGATTATAAATGCAGAATTTGCCACAACAAGAGTCTGAAACTACTGATATTCAAAAATACAATGACTTCAAGATGGACTGAACTGTGAAACTCAACAGGTACTGTATCACAAGACAAGATGTTCAGTTTCTCACTGTGGAATAACTTGGCTGAGAAACAAGTTGACCCAAGCAACTAGCATGTCAGATGGTGGTGAGACATTGTCAAAACTTTACTGTTTTGTACATACTATAATCCTCCATCAACCATGCATACACATGGCTCCGTTGAATTATGTCTATTTTCTGATTAGGCTAATTGATGAGGTCATGTACAAATCAAAGGCATCCAGTGCCAGCAAGGTCTGAGTACAGGGCTCCCACAGGTCAGGGAAAAGTCAGGGAAATTTGGCTTTTCTCTGAAAGTCAGGGAAAAGTCAGGGAATTTTTATATGTTTTCAAAAGTCAGGGAATAGTCAGGAAATTTGGGGTTTAAGTCAGGGAAATTTAGGGTTTTGGTCAGGGAAAAATAAGACTCAGAATGTCGCTAATCAGGTATGGTAGTAGTCAAAGTCAAAGATGCTTATTGTACTTAAGGCCCCCGGCCCATATACAGGCAATACAAGTATACATACAGCACATGTTACAGACATTTCATGAAATAAATTACAGTTCAGATAAAGCCCTAGATAAAGTTACATAAAGCCCTAGATTACATATTACATTTTCATTTTTGGAGGATAGAATGGAAACGAAGTCACTTGAAGGATATTTTTAAAGATAATCATGTGGCATGTATTGTTTTCTTAAATCATCATAATGTGAATTTCATCTTCTACAGCCGGGTTACATAACAGACATATTCTTCCATGAAGCACAATCGGTTGGATTTGTGAATCAAACAATATGAAACATATTTTCTGGGTTAAAATTCCAAAATTCTGGAAAACTGACATAAATTTAATAAGAGCCTTCTTAGCATGTGATTTCAGATTTATAACACTCTTTTTATCCCCCGGCATGTAATGCAGGCGAGGGGGATATAGTCAATGCCTTGTCCGTCTCTCTGTCCGTCCGTAATCATTTTGTTTCCGGAGCATAACTCGAAAATGGTTCAATATTTTCAACAAACCATGCAGATATATCAAACAGAACCTAAAGTGGTGCCATTTGCTATTTACAGATTTTTGGAATTTTTTATTTTTCTTGGTTGCCATGGCAATGTTTTGGACTGAGTCTCAAAAGGGAGTGGATACCTTTCAACAAAACTTGGCAGATATATCAAACAGAACCTAAAGTGGTGCCTGTTGCTGTTTACAGATTTTTGTCATATCTATTTTTCTTGGTTTCCATGGAAACGTTTTGGACTTTGTCTAAAAAAATGAAGTTCAACTTTAAGTAACTGTCAGATGATTTGCTCTTTCATATTTGTAGGGACCCGGGGGGATTTGTCATCTTCTGATGACTCTTGTTTAGTATGGGAAAACACTAGTCCGAGATAGGCATAGTGATTAACAATAGATAATTGTTTGCCATTCAAAAAACATGTTTCTTTATAGGCAACGGATCCACCTCTTCTTAAGTTATCTGTGTTAATAGATAATTTTCCATTCATTTGTATACCGTTCCAAAATATTATAAATAGTATGATGGCTGATGGTGGTTTCTTGCAAATTGTGAAAGCCCATTTTGGCCAAAAATACCCATATAAGTTTCATTGTTAAAGTTTCATTGTTAAACAGCATAGGTTTATAATATGACCTATGTTCTGACATTTGCTGTTTATTCACAAAATTGAAAGTGGTTTAATGGTGTTCATAATCTAGTTGTCATGGTTGTACTGAATGTAAAGTTACATCTTGCATGTATATTCTTTCCAAATATGCCTTTGATAATTACAACATTTTGTGATAATGAAGAAATGTGTTGACTTTGAATGAAACAATTCAATTAAATCATTAGTTTCACATTTATGTTCTTTGTCAAAAACCTTTAATATAAAATACAAAGTTTTCAGATGATATATTACTGACTTCACCTTAGAATATATATTTGATGGTCACGCTCAAATGTATCTAATAGTATTATGTGACATTGTGGCAGGAGAGTCAAGGAAAAATTTCTTCATCACAAATATCAATGTTTTGGTTAATGTAATATAAATTAAAAAGTATTGTGTGTATTTATGATATGTGTGAAGGAAATATCTTAACAGGGTGGTTAGGACTGACTGAAAGGGAGGAAGGAGGCCAGTTTTTACACTTAAATGGTCAGGGAAAAATCTATACTTGTCAGGGAAAAGTCAGGGTAAGTCATCAAACTTTGGCCTGCCATGCCTGTGGGAACCCTGGAGTATACACCTTACCATTTCCCTGACATTGGAGCAATGTAGATGCCAGAAGAGAAACACATGTTGCATGAGGAATATTGCTGATGTGGTCAGAGTGCTCATTTGTCGGTGCACTGTTTCCCTGTTGCTGGAACTAGGCTGTAGTTATACATAATGATGGCACCACAAAGTTCAATATGTATTCATGGATTGATTTTCTTGGTTTTGTTTTATTTGTTTTTAGGCCAGACCAATTTTATTTCTTGTTTTACGGATCCACAGGTTGTATTTTTTCAAGAATAAGAAAAAAAAATACAAATTTTTTTCCCCGCTCAAGAAATAAAATGCTAATGTTTTTATTGGACAAAAATGTAAACATACAAGAAAATTTGTCTTTCATTTTTTTTGCCCCATGTACACTTGACAAAAATTTGTAAAACAAAAAATAAAATTGGTCTGACCTTAACGCTGCAAAAGCATTAATTCAACTATATTCCAGCTATATAGCAGTGGTCTGTAAATAATTAAATCTGGACCAGGCAATCCAGTGATCAACACCTTGACCATTGATCTACGCAATTGGGATATGATGACGTTTCAACCAAGTCAGCGTGTATGACCATAAAAATCCAATTTGTCGCCTCTTACAAAAAAGCATGGGTTGCTGATGACCAATTCTAACCCACATCATCTTAGGTTTCCCGGAAATGAAGAACACTTGTGACGTACTGATGATGGTGGTGGGAAGATTTCCCACAAACAAGGGCAGAGTAAGTAAGAGAAGATAACGTTTCCAACATGACAACACAACTGACTTTCATGATGTTTATATTTAATGTCATCAACATTATCACACAAAAATAGCTGGTATTATTCGGCTCATGATGTAGCATCTGTATCATGCATAAACCAAATGTTTTATTTTGCATAAAATCACAGTATATTTACAAAATAAATAATGTACAAAAGGATCCTACACACGACAGTCGCCAGTACCGTCTTCAGTTAGTGTCTTATATGTCACGTCCATGTACTTCACACATGCTGGGATAGCTGGAGATGAGGCCAAACCTACATACATCATTTTCCATTTAAAAGAAAAACTGAGATATTAATCACATACTTTCAGAGAACCCGGAGTTCCCTTTGCAGTCACTCAATATTGATCTGTGGTCTATCATCATAAAATTGTTTGGTTGATGAACACTTCTATCAAATATTTATCTTTTTCCTTTCACATACATAATAACAACTAAATACTGTCCAATGTTGAAAGCCAACTCCATTCCAAAGAGTAAATTTGATAAAATAAGATCAAAACATTTGTTAATAGACATTTCACCCATATTTTACAACCCTATTGGTGTCAGTTCTGTGAATGCTTCCAAAGGCATCTGAACTGTTCAAACTGTAGTATTCTTGAGTGGGATGACAGAACAGATAGGCATTTGTAAGATCAAAAGCAACAACAACTGAGCTTTCATTTTATTCATGGTTTCATTAAGATCAAGCATTGGTTGTGTTAAGCACTGGGACCTGCCCATTCTTGTTATTGCTGCAATATGAAACATCTCTTCAAATGTCTAAAAGTATACATTTTTTGCTTCAACACCCTACACAGGGATTTATCTTAGTGTTCCTGGAGGCCAAAATTATGTCACAAATCTAAAAGCTCTGTAAAACTCCCAAATTATACTCTTTCAGCTCAAGTTATCAATCATATGTTATGATATTTTGTATGTTTGCAAATGTCACATGGCCAACAAAGGTGTCATAACATATTACATAATCACTTGTGAGGAAATACTGAAATGTACATCTCCATTTGAACTTGAATACTTCCCTTTTACCAATTTACTACATTGGAAACTTGACTAAAAATTCTAGATACATCCCTGATCATCAATTAAAATGAATCTCCTACCCTATGCCAGATTGCAAATAGAATCTATTGAAGTATGTTTTAAGTGCAGCTAGTATCAAGCCACAACAGTTTATATTTGAGACCTCATCTTCACCTGCCACACACGTTGTTAATACACACTACAGAGCTGACATCATTCCATAGACAGGTGAGAAATCTACAAAAATAAATACAAATGATAATCCCAAACTCCACAGAAACTCTAACTGAAAGACTCTCCTCTGGGTCTACCAATGATTGTAAGCTTTATCATTGTAATTCAAGGCAATAAATATTGGCATATTTAATACATCACAAAAGCAAAATCTCCATTTTGAAATACAGTTTGCATTTACAAAAGTGAAAAGTGTTTTTTAAACTATGAAAATGGACTATGAACTATGATGACATCAGCTGATTTGATCGAACTGTAATCGTAAATGCATTTGGTAACTAGAATTCCTGTTTGTAAGATACAGACTTGTTGTTAAACATCAGCTTAAGCATTGAAGGCTGTTTAACCTTTGTGGTAGTGTGCAATCTCCTTATAATCAGATCTTTGTCTTTGGTTTTGCTACGAACTGCATGAAGAACTAAGGGGCACCTATTTAGGAGGTTGCATCAGGGAACCTTAAGTGAACTTTCACAGCCTAATTTTAACAAACGATTCATTGTTTCTTGGGTCAATTAAAAGACAACTTTCTAAAATGACTCCGCATTTCTTGGCCACCTCAATTTGGAAATTTTGATTTGTGGCATAATAATGAAACCGTGCATGCCATGACAATTCTACATAGTACTCTCTCTTGGGAGGGTGTGCCATGACAATTCTACATAGTACTCTCTCTTGGGAGGGTGTGCCATGGAGCACAGAAACACCTGGTCTGAAGAATGTCCACAACAATAGAATGGATGGCCATTGTGCCAGATTAGGCATTTGTAGCTTCAGCTCATTGTCAAGATACAGAAATTGTATATACTGGTCTGAATGCTTCACTCCCTCCTGAGGAGAATTTAGCCTTGTTGCTGGCTGCAGGACAAGAAAGTTCACCTGACACAGTCTGTTGTGGAGGTGTCCCTAGGTCTTTGCTGAGACAGGTTGAGTAAAATATCTGATTTAATGAAATTGTGGCAGTGAGTTAAATCCCACACACTGTGTATAACCCATTACAAAGTCACAATGTGCTTTGAGATGTACCTTTGTCAATAACATTCATGAAACAAGGAATATAAGGTCAAAACACACTTTAACAATCTAACCAAGCAACTTAAGTTTGGCAATTGATTCCGTTGTCAAACCTATAAAATATAATGTCACACCTTTGAAACAAAAATAACAATGACTACAGCATACACAGACACTAATCCACATAAGGGATTATTTTCCTGATAATATTAAGAACATGTCGAGTAAACAATCCACATCTTAAAGTAAGAAAATTAGCAGGTGAAGAAAACATTATCAAGACTTTCCTTGTGAACAACTGGTTTCTAAGGGGATCAAAATAAAACTGGTTAAAAAATTCATTGAAATGTAAAGATGGTGCTGATTTTAACCCAAGAGTTACCTGTCCTTGTCCAGTTTGCTGCGATACTACCTTATGAGGAAATACAAACCTAGCAACCTGATTGGCTAGAAGCTCATGACAAACATTCTTTTCATGGCCTTAATTTCAGCACCTTTTGTTGAAGACTTAAAGAATTGAGAGCCATTTTATCAAATAATGAGAACTGCATGGTACATATCCAATACATTTTGGCAATCCCTATTTAAAAATAACATTCCAATTTTGTCATAAACCTTACAGTGTAATTAACTTGATACTGCACCAACACAGGATTATCATCATTATAAAGCTAACCTAAACATGCAGTATTAATACCAGGATATATGCAAATATTATTCCACACAACAACACCTTGTCTATTACCTAACACTGTTATCTGAAACTATGATACCTATCTTAAATAAATACTTTGCAACACAGCATAATGTTCACAGTGTGGCCACCGATTAATGCCTTAGTGTTTATTTCACCTTCAAGAAGTGCAGAAAGTTTCAAAAATGTCAAACTGACGATGTAGTGCCTAGACCTCAGTTTACACATCTTTGTTTAATACCGCACTCAGCAATATTCAAATGATGTCAGATCATAAATCTTTGAGGCTGGACCAGACAACCACGTCATCGATACTGTAAGCAACGATCCCAGTCACAGAGTATGATGACATACTATCGGCCAAATGACCCAGTCTAACAATCCATTTGGTCACCTCTTGTGACCAGCATAGATTGTTGAGGGTCTGGTCTAAGGAAGTGAGTGAGTTGTGTTTTATGCCGCTTTTAGCAACATTCCAGCAAAATCACGGCAGGGGACACCAAAAATGGGCTTCACACATTGTACCCATGTGGGGAATGGAACCCAGGCTTTCGGCATAACGAGCAAAAGCTTTAACAAATAGGCTACCCCACTGCCCCTGTTCTAAGGAAGAATACTTGAGGGTGAACAATAATTAATTCAAGGATCCAACCAGACTAGCATCGGTTTGTTTAGCAAATTTCAGTATTTCATACTGACACTGAACAACGAAAATGCCCACTTCAACAGTTGGGATCCATTGAAAATATGTTGTACATGGTATGGTTCATTAGGATTATGAGACATCCATACAACATTCTTAATCAATAGTATTACCTGCTAGTTTCATGACAAACAGTTTTGTATTTCACTTTGTAAGAATTTGTTCTTTAATGAAAATCATAACAAAGTTTTAAATAACTGCAAAATAACAACACAACCCTTCATTATATACAGACTACTCGTCAAAGAGACTGACTGGATATCAACAGTTGTCTGCACATGCTACATATATAGGAAATGGGTTTCATGCACTAACATGGTTTCCCTATTGCACAACTTGTGGAGATCATATGTTCTAGTCTTTATTTGTGTTACAATAATATTGCGTATCACGGAAAACATAAAGTAAAGTTTCACAGAACAAAGTCTACAGCGATTTCACAGTTTTAAGCACAGAGAGAAACATGCAGTTAAAGTCTCTTCTACTGTTCGATCTGAAACCTTTAAAACATAAATAATTTGATATACATCCTGCAACAGTATAATATATTTTCAAACATATCTACATCCCTTTATACTGTTTAAAAAATATCAGTCTCAGATTGATGTATGGTCAATTTCAGTCCAAGACATTCTTTTGTTTCTGAAAATGTTTGACCTTTGTTTGGCATTGAGAAAATACCATTCACATTATCACCATTATAAGACCTACAAAAACAAACAAAGGTATTTTTCTGACGTCTGTCAGTACCAGACTAAATTTGCAGTATCTATTTACTATGTAAATTTACCAGCAAGTAAATGTATCAGGACCGTTCTCTAAACCAGATTATAATTTCGGTCCATGAGTCCAGTTCAGAAGATCCCAGTGAACAGCAGTCTGAGAGGAAAAGACCCCATCATGAATTACATATGAGCTACCCTGGTCTGTCATGAAACTCAGTTGCTGTCAAGCAGTATTGTCCATCATATTATCACTGATTTTTGGTTATCAATATTCACCATTACTTCATCCATTGAGTGCATGTCACTTCTATCATGTGTCTGTCATATTAACCAACTGACAAACAGTTGATGACTGAACTTACAGACTGATGTGTATTTTAGATCTCTAGCATATTTACACAACATTAGAATGAACATGATGAAATATGATTTTGGCAACATACTGTCCTCCAATAAAAATAGAGGGCATGCTACTCTGGAAGAGGCTCTCACAGGAAGAAATAAATATCTGATGGGAAAAAAATGATAAAAAAAGAAATAGAGCATCAGGAATATTTGTTTTAAAGTGTTGCTTGGTGCTTAATAAAAGAGGCAGCTCCTTTGTCTAATCACTGTCACTTGAACTCTCTCTGTTAGCAGCATCGCGGTTACCTCCCCTGTTTCCTGCAACCAAGCAAGTTGAATGTCTTGAATGATGGTATGTATTACCGAATGCAACAGTAAACACAAAACTAACAAACTAAAAAGATGTAATATTTTTAGTAGAATTGTTATTTTATACTTATCCTGACTCATGATCTTTGCTTATCTCCCTTTTCCATGCGAATGGTAGTGGAATACTTGAATCCTTTGTAGTTCCCTGAAGCGGATGTAAAAATACACTCACCCACGAGTTACCTCCCTTTTCCCGCGCAAACAGTCATGTGACCAGCCTTACTTGTCACTCTCTCCTGATTTTCTGCCCATTCACCTGGATCTACTGTGAAATCCGAAGTGTTTCCAGCGGGGAAGTTGGGAGGGCTTTTCCTCATGAGTCAGGATAAGTATAAAATATCAATTTTTCTTAAAAAATTACATATTTTTCCTTATCCTGACTCATGATCTTTTGCTTATAGAATCCTACGGATTGGTGGTGGTTTAAGCCACTTCCTGGATTCAACAGCTGTCCATAGATACGTCCTGTATCCCCCCCATGGGAACTGCGTAACGGCATTTCCTAGATCCTTTTCTTCAAACTTCCGTTATAACTCGGGGGGCCACAATCTTGTCTTACTTCTCTCTCAAACAAGTGAATCTTGTAGATTCATGTGGCTTAAGATATACTAGTTTCTTCTTTTTACTAGTTATCTATAACAACCCATAGATTATGATAAGATCGTTACCATAAATGAGTTGCGACCCCTTTACGTACAGGTAAGATCTTTACCCGTACAGAGTCTTAATCACTCATGCTAGCCTAGTCTAGACTGTGCGCATGGACTTTCAAACTAGAACATTTTCCATAGTAAAAGTTATCAACAAGTCAACGTGATAAAGGGGGAGATTTCAACTCAGCCTTTGAGGAACTGTTAGTTGCTGTTCTACAACAAGAGGCCCAAACTGGTGAATGCTGGAGACGTGTTCGGTGGCTATGTCTTGGAGGTAGTGGTTGGCAAACACTGTATCTGACTTCCAGAAGCAGCCCTCCATAATTGATGATATAGAGCAATTTCCATGTAGAGCGAGTGTTGAAGCCAGTGCTCTGACTTCGTGTGGGTTGGAAGCTCATGGAGATTCTAATCCTGCTGCTTTGTAGGCTCTCATCCAAAACGATATTGTCGTTCTTGAGACCTCCACTCATGTCTCCGTCGACAAGGGGATGAATAGGCGTTTGAACTTTCTTCTCCTTGTTTTAGTCTTTTGAAGATATATCTTCAAGGCTCTGACAGGACACAAGGATAAGTCCTGGGTGTCCTCTGGTCAAAGGATCATAGATAGCGCTGGCACATGGGACTGTCTATCTGGTTGACCAGGTCGTTGATTCTTTGCAATAAAGTCCCATCTAAGTCCTAGATGTACTGCAGCATGGTGCCCCATGTTGAATCTAGTTTGTTCAAAGTCCAGCGCATGTATCTCAGACATACAAGCTGCCGTGGCTAGGGCAAGTAGGAACAGAGTTTTCTGTGTGAGTAGCTCGAAGGTAGTCTGTTCTAGAGGTTCGTAGGCATCGCTCATGAGATGACGTAGAATTACATTCAGATCCCAGGCTGGTGCTCTGAATTTCTTTTGCTGGTCCTCCAGTTTAAAACATCGCAGCAGAGCTAGTAATTCTGGTACTTTCGTCAATTTGATGCCTGACTTCATAGTGACGACTGTGCTGATGGCTGCCAGATATGTGGATAATGTCGAACCTTTCAGATGTCTTGTATATCTAAGGTGACATAGATATTCCGCCACTTGAGGATGAGAAGCTTTCATAGCTGTGAAGCCCTTCCGCCTTGCATATTGTTCAAATTTCTGCCATTTGTCATCATACAAATTGCGAGTAGATCTGCGTAACGCAAAAGTTACTGCTTTCGCTGCTCTGGCGGAGTATCCTCTATTCTTCAGACAGGTTTTGATACGGTCCACACGTGTAGCTGGAACAATGTTGGGTTCCTGTGGACTTGCTTGGTGTGCGGATGTCTGAGTAGGTTCGGCCATTCTGGTAGTTTGAGGGTTGGACTTCCGAGATCTTCTGTTAGGTCTAGGAACCAGACTCTCGCTGGTCAATAGGGGGCGCGACCAAAGTCAGTTGTAGCGCTTGTGTCTGTTTGATCTTCAACAGTACTTTCGGTAGATCACAGGTGGAAACGCGTATGCGTTTAGTCCTTCCCATGTATGCTCAGTGCATCTGTTGCCCAGGCTTGGGGGTCTGGTACTGGTGAGACAAACGTATGTAGTTGTTTGTTGAACCTCGTGGCAAACAGGTCTATGCATGGGGATCCTATTTCCCTTATAATGAGCCGGAACGCTTCTGGATGGAGCATCCATTCCGTGGGTGACGGATGAAGTGGTTGGGAAAGAGCGTCTGCTAGTACGTTCTTGGCTCCCGGTATGTGACACGCCTTTATCCACATGTTTGCATCCTCTGTGATGTTGAACAACTGGAATGTGAGCTTCAGTAGGCTTGACCTTGTTGATCCTTGCCCATTTATGGAGAATGCCACTGTAGAGTTGTCCGTGTGGACCATCAGCATTCTGTTGCTCAGCGAACTCAACCATAGTTGTACGGCGTTGATCACAGCTTTCATTTCCAGCAGATTGATGTGAAGATGCTGTTCTGCTTTTGACCACTTCCCTGACGCAACTTGGTTGTTGACATGTGCACCCCATCCCTGTTGCGATGCATCTGCGTAAAGATGTGTGTCGAAGGCCAGCTCTTGAAAATAGGTCCCTCCGCAGATGTTACATTTTGAGATTTTCTGGTAACGAGATAGGGTCGACGCTGTCCAGATATTTTGCCAGGAATCATTGCAATGGACGTAGTTGTAACCTTCCTGTGTGAGTCAAGTCCTCTGCTGAGGTTAGTAGACCGAGCAGACATTGCCATGTTCGTAGTGTTAACGGAGAGATGACTGCTTGAGGAATCATGGATTGTATTTTGACCCAATGATCTTCTGGGGTCACAATTCGATTCTGTGTTGTGATGAATCTTATCACCAGGAATTGCAGATCTTGTGTTGGTTCCAACTCTGACTTCATCAGGTTCACTAGCCATCCTAGTTGAGTGAGCAACTTGATTGTGAAGTTCAGCCGATATCTGAGTTGATTGGCACTTTGATGAACCTGTATGCCGTCGTCCAGGTAAAAGGCATTGCGTAGACCTCGATGATGTAGGTAGGCGACTATGGGCTTGGTTATTTGTGTGAATAACCATGGAGCGGACGATATTCCAAACGGTAGGACGTTCCATTGGAAGTGCTGACCTCTCATAAGGAATCGTAGATATTTTCTTGATTCCGGATGCATGGGGATGTGTAGATATGCATCCTGGAGGTCTATGCTGGCCATATAATCTGCTGAACGAATTAGTTGAGGTAGGTGGATCATTCTGAACCTTTCCGGTTTGAGTAGATAGTCTTGGTTGAATTTCCACATGTTGTAAATTAACCTGAATTTCTCTTTGGAATTCTTTTTGGGTACTAGGTAAATTAGTAGAAGCCTGGCGTGAGATGATGTTGATCTATTCTCTCTACCGCATTCTTGGTTAGAAGCGAGTTGATGGCTTCTTGTAGCTTGTCTGCTTGCTCGTCTGCATAGTTGAAGACCATCGGTCTGAAGGTTAACGGTGGTGCGGCCTTGAGCTGTACCCTTCTCGCAGTACTTGTCAGACGTAGTCGTCCTCAAGTATTCCCCAATTTTCCCAGTACCTTTGTAGATGTCCACTCACTGTCGATGGTTGTACAGGAACGGCTGGGGGTGGAAGCATCCAGTCGTTCCGAACCCCAATTTCAACGTCTAGCTCCTCTGAAACCTCTGGGAGTACGTCCTCTCCCTGAGTTTCCTCTGAAGTTTCTGGATGGGCGACGAAAAGAGCTTTTCCCGCCTCTGAAGCTGGAGTATTTCTTCTCCTTAGCCTTCTGGATAGCGGAATATTTTGACTTGCTGTTGTACTTCTGTGAAGTATGATGAATGATGTAGGCTAGAGTATCTATAGACTTGATCATCATGACTTCCCTTGAGTCCTGAGTAGCTTCCTTAGCTGCATCATCTACTGTAAACGTACTTATTTTCGCGTGGTGCAATTTTCGCGGAATTGACAGTTTAGACTACATCGTGCGGTCAATTATTCGCGCAATCAGTAATTGCCGGAACTGCCAGCTGTCTCTTTGGCCGCCACTAAAAGCAGTGAAAACAAACAGAGTGGCTTAACCTGTCAGGCGGCGTTTATTGCTTACTCACAGGAAATCCCTATCTGTGCGATATACTAGTACACAGTAATCCGTTTACTCACGGAAGAGATGAAAAACACATCAGTCTTATGTTCCGAATTCTGACGATCTGACGAATTAACTTCTACTGAATATGAAGCTCTTTGTGATTTCAAACAAACCGGGTTGTTGTGAATGAGATGATTGAGTGTTAAGTGACTATTCGCTTCATGATGTACTGGTAAATAAAACCTTAATGAATAAATAAAATACTGCTGTATTATTTCTTTCCGAGTCGTTTCATGGTAATCTGTTTTGTATCAAACCATCTGTCATGTGACCAATTTCCATGGCGGCCACAACACACATTGCTGTTTTCGCTAATTCGGCGATGGGATTTGACTCATTATCTAATTAATTATTTGGGAAATCCATTAGTTAAGTATGATCCTTTATGCTACTATCAGTCGTCATTTTAAGATTTCCGTAGATTTCTGTCTTCAAACTTGATGTGTTATGGTAACAACTCAGGGGCGAGCATGGCTAGACTGAATGAATGACAGGTTTATTCGCAGTGTATAAATTTTCGCGCTAAAATGTTTTGAGCGAAAATAAAACCTGCGCGAAATATAATACGTTTACAGAATCTCACCTCCGAACATGGTAGGCGCCGCCCAAGGAGCTCTAAGTAGCGGTTGGATAAATCTGTCACTCAAGGAACACAATGCCAGTAGACCCTGTCCCTGTCACAAGGTGAGACCCGCCGACGTTGAGGCCAAATGATCCGATATGAAGTATTGGTCCTTCTTCTGAGTGAACAGAGCAGATAATATCATTCTATCTTCTTCCGAGTGGGGTTCTGGAACTTGTTAATCAATGCCTCATTGATTGCTCTGGACCTCGCTAATCTGAAGAAGGATCTCCTCGTCGCGTTATCAAGTTGGGCCAACTTTTTATCCTCCACCTTGTAAAACTTGTTCCAAGAGTCGTTGACCAGTTATAAATTCTCATCTAAGTCCGGCGCTCTCATGAAGGGGTCCATGTGATGTAAGGGGAATTTCCTCGCATTAAATGCTGGCAGATGTTGATTCTGGAATCTAGTAGCTTTGGCAAAAGATATGCGTAGGTTCGAAGGCATCTTGGATATTGGCTCAATAGTAGGAATAGTCACCCAGTCGAAGTCGTCCTTGCACATCTTGTATGTGTAAGCTATCAGATAGTTCTTGTTCCGTAGAACTATGCCTTCGCAAATCCTCCTTCTGCGAACCTTCCTTTTGCGAATCTATCTTCTGCGAACCTCTATCTCGTGATCCATCCTTTCACGAACGTCTGTCTCGTGATCAATCCCTTTGCGAGCCTCTGTCTCGTGATCCATCCCTTCGCGAACTTATCTCTCGCGAACCTAGCCTTCACGAACTTCCTTCTCATGAACCTTCGTGAACCTTCTGTTCGTGTGAGAGCTGCGGGATGTAGATCTGGAACGGCTGGCTCTTGGAGATGGATTCCTAGGCGTTCTCAAACGTTGAGGGTTCGCAGACGAAGTTCTCTTAGAGTTAGTAGCCTTCGCGAACCTTCCATCCTGTTCCATGATGACAGGGTCGTCCAATTGTGATGACCTTCTCGAACGTACACGTTCGCCAATGTTGTTTGCAGATGTAGATCTGTGAGGCGTATCAGGTTCGCGCAGGTCTGAGGGTTTGCGAACGTTGTCGGTTGATGTGAGATTCTGTCGTGCCTTCGCTTCCTCATCAAACTGTCGTTCCATCATGGCCATCAATTTGGGTAGTAAATTGCCTCATGAAATCGCCTGGATTGAAGTTCTGAGTTGACTGGAACTGATTCGTTATTGATGAAGCGGACGCGAACGCTGATGTGTTGTGTGCTTCAACTTCACTGCGTTGAGAAGTTGGTGGTTGGTCGTCAAACAGCTGGCCCACTGTTGTAGTTGCAGGAGATGATCTAGTAGTCGTGGAGGTTGACTGCGTCGCCGATCTAGTAGGTACTTCAGGCAGAAGTAACGGTGGTTCATCAAACACGTCTGCCTCATGCGGTAGGATGATCTCCTCATTAAACGACCTCTGATGAGTTGACTTGCTAGGTCGTGTTGATTTCGACGCTGACCTAGTTATAGATGCCCTTTTCTGCATTCTGGCGTAGTCTTTTTCTTACTCTGAGAGGGCATCAACTCCGTCGTAGCAGACCTCTTTTTCGCCCCCGTAACAGACGACTGCCCCTGCAACGTACTCAACATAGCACCAGAATTATGTATTTCTGCAGTAGCAAACAACCTACGGATACCGGCTTGATCTCCAAGTTTATCAACCGTGACTTGTGATGACTTCCTCACCCGATCCATGGCACGTCTATAGGTATAAGACAAATATTGATTAAATTGCAAACTTGATAAACCAATGCAATATGTACAATGTAAGGTGGAAGAAAATGGCTTAATGCACTATGGGCTTTGGGGGTGAGGGTCAGCCACTGATAGCCGGTGCCTGCAAACAAAGCAATATCATGAAATGTAAACAAGTTACATTACGATGAAAAATGTGTCACAAATTACAATAATTTCTTCAAATTGTATACAAATAATACATGATAGTTATAGCCAAATACCATACACAGCGTAATTTTGATAAATAGGATCTAAATATAAAGGCCTCCAGTGCTCGCCCAACCATCTGCTTGGGCGAAAAGGGAGAGAGTGACAAGTAAGGTTGGTCACATGACTGTTTGCGCAGGAAAAGGGAGGTAACTCGTGGGTGAGTGTATTCTTACGTCCGCTTCAGGGAACGACAAAGGATTCAAGTGTTCCACTACCATTCGCATGGAAAAGGAAGATAAGCAAAGATCATGGGTCAGGATAAGGAAAAATACTTAATTTAAGACTATGGACTGCAGATCCTTCATGGGGTATGAATATACTCCAGCACAGCCAGGACCTTGAGATGTGCAATACAGCAATTATTGTTATTAACAAAATACTGTAATCTTATGAGTCTCACATTAATAAATAGGAAGGTTACAGACAACCCAAAGTGAATATTCAGTTAACAAAATTAGAATTTTTTTAAAGCCCCATTCAAGCTCTCAATGCTGGGACATAATTTCCAGAATTCTTGAATTACCTGCTTAAATCTGAAAACAAGTTAGTGAAAGATGTAACTATATTTGAGAAAAAACCCTTTGCTCTAATGTCAACTGTCGAGTACTAAAGCACACTTTTGCCATTAACTATAATAGATAAAGTACAAGGATTCTTGCAGACAGATCAAAGGGAAGGTAATTTGAAAAGTAATGACGAAGAACCCAAACTGTACATTATGTAAGATGAAGTACTGTCGGCCCCTTTGATCTTTAAGAGAACCATCTTGGAATTAAGAGTAAACAAAAACTTTCTATGCACGTGTGAGACAATTTTTTCCCTGAGTAAATATTGGACACCGACCTCCTGCTCGGATCTGGTTAAGAGACGCTAGAACACGGAGCATGAAGGCAGCAGGAACGGTGATGGTGTCTCGTGTCTCCTCCAGCATGATCTCATTGCGTCTCTGGATCTGTCGTATGAATACATATGTTCATTGCAGACTAATAATGACAATATCAGGTGTTCCTTGACCTCTTTTGAGTAGTATAGATGATAGTATAGAAAGGTTCTTTGTCTGAACAGCCATTATGTGAGGATCACCCAGTAATTGGTGGTGGACAAGAGAAAATGATCCACATATCAAACCAAGACCATATTACTTGGATCATCACATTGTTGTCACGTTCAGTCTTACTACAACACATCCTGCATCATCATGCTCATATAAAATGTATTTATTCACTTTTCACAGATCTGTCACCCAAGGAAAGACGTATATACCCAGTTGAAAATGTTATCTGATGATTTCAAGGATGATTCCCTACCTCATGAGCCTTTTCCTCATCAAACGCTGGCTCTGTTTCCATTGGAGACCAAACCTTCACATCATAGTCTATTCCACTTGATGCCAGAACTAGGAAGGAATAGAACAGTTAAATATTACCAAAGAGAAATCATAGTCAGAAAGAACATAATAAGATGGCAAGTTCACTTCCATGAGAATATTCCTGTTTTGTTTATCAGTTTGTTTCTCACTATCTAAACGATGTGATAACATACTTGGATCATACGGATGAGGCTGCAAGCAGTTGACAACATGGCGATCTGCCTCCAGGAGCATCACAAGAGCCGACGTGTGTCGGTCCCACACAAATATGTGTCCACAGTCCGACCCACTCATCACAAAGTCCTCACCCCAGAAGTTAGCTTCCTTGATCTGTAAGGAAACCAATCACATTACACAGCATCCCTCCCGTTGACTATGTGTTCCCTAAGTGATTTTGTATTTTCACTCAAAGATTTGAGTGGAATTCATAATCAAAAGAAGGGAAAACAACAATCAAACTTACTTTTGTTTCCCTATGGCTGTAACCTTTTTTAGACAAAAGAAATGCAATTATGTAGATAGAATCACAATATAATCAACATGTACCGGTAACTTTTTAAGTAAAATTTATATTTTATACTTATCCTGACTCATGATCTTTTGCTTATCTCCCTTTCCCTTGCGAATGGTAGTGGAACACTTGAATCCTTTGTAGTTCCCTGAAGCGGACGTAAAAATACACTCACCCATGAGTTACTTCCCTTTTCCGTGCAAACAGTCATGTGACCAGCCTTACTTGTCACTCTCTCCTGATTTTTCTGCCATGCACCTGGATCTACTGTGAAATCCGAAGTGTTTTCAGCAGGGAGGTTGGGAGGGCTTCTCCTCATGAGTCAGGATAAGTATAAAATATCAATTTTACTTAAAAACTTAGATATTTTTCCTTATCCTGACTCATGACCTTTTGCTAATAGAATCCTACGGATTGGTGGTGGGTCAAGCCACTTCCTGGATTCATCAGCTGTCCATAGATACGTCCTGTATCTCCCCCCATGGAAACTGCGTAACGACATTTCCTAGATCCTATTCTTCAAACTTCCGGGGGGACCACTACCTTGTCTTACTTCTCTCTCAGACAAGTGAATCTTGTAGATTCATGTGGCTTAAGATATACTAGTATCTTCTTTTTACTAGTTATCTATAACAACCCATAGATTATGATAAGATCGTTATCATAAATGAGTTGCGACCCCTTTACGTACAGGTAAGATCTTTACCCGTACAGAGTCTTAATCACTCATGCTAGCCTAGTCTAGGATGTGCCCATGGACTTTCAAACTAGAACATTTTCCATAGTAAAAGTTATCAACAAGTCAACGTGATAAAGGGGGAGATTTCAACTCAGCGCCTTTGAGGAACTGTTAGTTGTTGTTCTACAACAAGAGGCCCAAACTGGTGAATGCCGGAGACGTCTTCAGTGGCTATGTCTTGGAGGTAGTGGTTGGCAAACACCGTATCTGACTTCCAGAAGCAGCCCTCCATAATCGATGATATAGAGCAATTTCCATGCAGAGCCAGTGTTGAAGCTAGTGCTCTGACTTCGTGTGTGTTGGAAGCTCTTGTAGGTTCTAATCCTGCTGCTTTGTAGCTCTTAGTATAACGGCTCTCATCCAAAACGATATTGTCGTTCTTGAGACTTCCACTGATGTCTCCGTCGACAAGGGGATGAATAGGCGCTTGAATTTTCTTCTCCTTGTTTTAGTCTTTTGAAGATATATCTTCAAGGCTCTGACAGGACACAAGGATAAGTCCTGGGTGTCCTCTGGTCCGAGGATCATAGATAGCACTGGCACATGGAACTGTCTAGCTGGCTGACCAGGTAGTTGTATCTCAGACATACAAGCTGACGTGGCTAGGGCAAGTAGGAACAGAGTTTTCTGTGTGAGTAGCTCGAAGGTAGTCTGTTCTAGAGGTTCATAGGCATCGCTCATGAGATGACGTAGAATTACATTCAGATCCCAGGCTGGTGTATCTTAATTTCTTTTGCTGGTCCTCCAGTTTAAAACATCGCAGCAGAGCTAGTAATTCTGGTACTTTCGTCAATTTGATGCCTGACTTCATAGTGATGACTGTGCGGATGGCTGCCAGATATGTGGATAATGTCGGACCTTTCAGATGTCTTGTATATCTCAGGTGACATAGATATTCTGCCACTTGAGGATGAGAAGCTTTCATAGCTGTGAAGCCCTTCCGCCTTGCATATTGTTCAAATTTCTTCCATTTGTCACCATACAAATTGTGAGTACATCTGCGTAACGTTAAGGTTACTGCTTTCGCTGCTCTGGCGGAGTATCCTCTTTTCTTCAGCCAGGTTTTGATACGGTCCACACGTGTAGCTGGAACAATGTTGGGTTCCTGTGGACTTGCTTGGTGTGCGGATGTCTGAGTAGGTTCGGCCATTCTGGTAGTTTGAGGGTTGGACTTCCGAGATCTTCTATTAGGTCTAGGAACCAGACTCTCGCTGGCCAATAGGGCGCGACCAAAGTCAGTTGTAGCGCTTGTGTCTGTTTGATCTTCAACAGTACTTTCGGTAGTAAGATCGGAGGTGGAAACGCGTAAGCGTTTAGTCCTTCCAATGATATGCTCACCTTACGGATAGACGCCGTTCTTGTGATAAAAGCCTTAAGATTCGTACGGACATTTAAGACGTGTATCACATCGTAGAGAGGTACCGGACAAAGGAGGCTGAGTAAAAGCCGGAGATCGATAGGCCTGCGAACCTAGAGCTACAAGAGTCTGGCAACCTAATGCTGACCCTATCCCTGTGAAAGACAGTCAGCTCAGGATCCGCTGACATTGCGTGAATGTCGCTGACTCATCTGCCAGACTTTACCGTCACAAGGAAAGCTGCCTTCCAATTTAACAGCTGGAGAGGGAGCCGACAAATCGAAAAAGAGAGGGCCGGGGCATCCAATTAAGAACGATTGACAAGTCCCACTGGGGACTAATCAGGCGGACAGCCGGTCGGATTCTGACGCTGCACAATGGGGGTGGTACCCTGAGAGTACACCATCGGCAGGTGTGTGAAAAGCAGAAATAGACGTGGAGTAGCATCTGATAGAAGAAGCGGCAAAGCCGGCTTCTCATCTAGATTGCAAAAACCCAATACTCTGACTAAATCTGTAGAAAAAGGGATCGAGAATCCCTCTGCCGACACACAAGCATGCACAACAGGCCCATCTGCCCCCACACTGAACATTTGTCGAATCCCTCCGCGAAGCCAGAAATTGTCTGCAACTAGTGCAGGAATTCTGTTCGCTTGGAGGCGATTCCGGACAGTGGCCAAGCCACCCACTGAATCCTGGGATTCGGGTGGGGCGCTCCGCTTGGGATAGCAGATTCGGTTCAAAGGGTCATCGAACAGGAGGCTGAGTCAGCAACCTGATGATTACCGTAAACCGGATTTGCGCTGACCAAAGAAGTACAAGGAGTACAAGTAGTCGAGCTGCGAGAGAACCCTGGGAATCAGGTGTGTCGGTGGAAACACCCACAGAACCCTCTCCGCCCAATCAAGCTTCGGATCCGGAATCTGGGAGCAAAGACCGGTATTTGGTTTCTCACCCCAGAGTCAAACAGATCCACCCGTAACAACCCGTATAACCGGGAGGCAAACCTGAATATTCCCCATTCCAGCATCCACTCGTGATGGGCTAGTACACACCGTGAGAGTGCATCTGCACGAACATTGTCTACCCCCAGGAGATAAACAGTGAGTTTGATTTTACGCCGCTTTAAGCAATGTACCAGTAACATCACAGCGGGGGGACACCAGATATGGGTTTCATACATGGTACCCATGTTGGGAATCGAACCCGGGTCTTCAGTGTGACGAGCGGACGCTGTAACCACTAGGCTATCCCACGGCCCCTAGGAGAGCATATGGCAAACTGGACTCACCAGAGCAGAAACTGTCATGCCTCCTGCAGGAGAGACAGCGTACCGTCCTGCCTCAGGCCATTGCCATCTGATTGTCTATATATAGACGAACCACACGGCTTCAAACCTGGTCCACAAAGTGTTCGAATACCAGCCTGACTGCTCCCAATTTCAGAAAGTGAGGTCGCCCAGAACCCTGCCCCAGCTCTAGAGGCATCCCATCCGTTTGACTCATGATCAATGGCGTCGGGTCTCCCGGGGAACCCCCTGGGTAGATTCCCCCGGCGTGTGTCCACTTCAAGTGAGGAACCAACCACTCTGAATGTGGAAAACGCTCTCGCAACTCTCCGAGTGAGACCACAGCTGTGCTAACGCCTACTGTAAAGGTCGCATCCTCGGACATGCACGCCAGATAATGACCACTGTCGCCATGTTGCCTAGCAACTGGAGCCATGTCCGTGTCGATGCCACGGGGAACTCAAGAGATTGCAAAGCAACCCTTCTGAACCCTGGTAAGGCGGTTTGGAGACGGGGATACCATGCTACGCCATGTCCCGAATCTCTCTCCCAAGAAAACCAGTCTGTGTAGACACCAGTTCTGATTTCTTGAGATTGATAATCCAATCCAATCCCGCTTGGTGAGAACACTCATCACGGAAAGGATTGCGTGGCAAGCGCTCTGAGTAGCCAGTCGACTAGATACAGTGACAACACTTGCCCTGTGCCCCGGCGACCTGCGTTATAATAACATGAGTTTGGTGAACGCCCTTGGTGATGCCGAAGGGGAGCACACAAACCTGATAACACTTCCTGTCGAAGGAAAAAACCTGAGGTATTTCCTGAACTCGGGGAGCATCGGGTTATGACGGTACACGTCCTTGAGGTCGATTGAGCCTCTACAGATGAGATCACTGATCTTAGTGTCTCCATCTTGAAAGACGGAACCTCTATCATGTCGTTCTGCCCTAAGATTAGTATAGGTTTGAACTCTCCATCCTTCTTGGTACCCAGGAAATAGGTGGAGTAAAACCCCGCATTTTCCTGCCCCATAGGAACACCTGGATGGCTGCCTCGTCCAGCAACGACTGGAATTCGGCACAGAGTGTATCAGAACCCAGGGATTTGCTGTGACTTTCTCCCACTCCCTTAGGAATGTGGAAAGCCAACCGCCGACAGGGACGCCGGTCAGAAGGCAGTGGATCCCAACGGTCAGCAGTGTGTCGACTGCTTGCGCTGGGTCCCCTGCGGGATGGCTCGAATTGGAGGATTGCTCCAACAAGGGCGTCGAGTCCTTGAAGGTGCCTACTGCCTCGCGGCCTCTCGTACCACTGTCAATGCCCCAGGAAACAACAGGGTAGAACCCATCCGGTAGTGCAGTGACATGACGCATGTTGCGTAACCAGCGAAAACTGAGCAATAGGCAGTCAGAGTCGGCACTCGCTATCTGGCTAACACATGAACCTGATAGCACCATGCGCCAGATGTGAGTGGACATCCGTCAGTTGCCACACTGGTGTGGCGTATGACGTGTCATCCGGTGGGCAGTGACATGGGTGCCTGTTTTCGTAACCAGCGAAAACTGAGCAACAGGCAGCAGCCAGAGTCGGCGCTCATCCTTGCCTAGTCGAAACTAGGAAGTGCCCCGACGAACCTGACCGCACAGATGCAGTTAACTACCACGGGGGGTCCGTAAACCCCTCCTCCCCCATCAGGTACCAGTGATTGAGCTCTGGGAGGTCAAATCAAGTCCGATTACTTAAGAGGAGAGGGGCACCAGGTCGGGGCACCAGGCGAACTCAGGTCGAGACCCGAGTCGCCGGGAACCTGTGCCGGACCTGAACCAGAGGCCAGGCCCGCATGAGGTCCCCCAGACAACCCATCACCGGAGCCGTAGCTCGGATCAGAGTGCCCAGGGGGAGGAGCAATCCCCGAGCCTAGCCTGCGTACTGTATAGAGAATGAGCAAAACAAAGGTGATACGAAACGACCACGATTACGAACTCACTCAATGATGACTTACCGTAATTTCGCTGAAAACGAGACTATTAGGGCAAGCCTACTATATAATATGAAAACATTATATAGAAACTCCCTACCATAGAGTAAGCCTAGAGCTAACAATAATATAGGAAGGGAGAAGAAGCGTGTGGTCCGCCATCTTGCCTGTCACATGGCAGGAAAACAGACGACCCACCAGCAAAGTTACAACAATTCATGAATGAAAATACCTACATATGAATTCCATCTAACGCCCGTGAGTAAATAAAGGAACCATACATACAGTATTTGATTCTTATCACTCATCTTCGTAGGGACAGGGAAAGATTCCTGAGAAAGAACACACGCACGTCTTTCCTGAGAAACGACAGCATGAAAAGTGAGGTACGAAGTAGATGGCGAACGCCATTTTTTGTTTTGTAAATATTTATTATTTAAATATTGTTACAAATGTCGTAGGATTTTAAAATGGACATCCGCTAAATATAAAGGATATCTACGGTATACAGGACTCCAGTGCTCGCCTAACCATCCGCTAGGCTTGGGCGAAAAGGGAGAGAGTGACTAGTAAGGCTGGTCACATGACTGTTTGCGCGGGAAAAGGGAGATAACTTGTGGGTGAGTGTATTTTTACGTCCGCTTTGGGAACTACAAGGGATTCAAGTGTTCCACTACCATTCGCAAGGGAAAGGGAGAAAAGCAAAAGATCATGAGTCAGGATAAGGAAAAATTTGAACATTTTTAGTGAGTGAATATCGTTTAACTTCACTTTTAGCAATATTCCAGCATATCATGGCGAGGGACACCAGAAATGGGCATCACACATTAAACCCAGGTCTTCAGTGTGACGAACAGACACTCTAACCATTAGGCCATCCCACTGCCCCTGAACATTTTTATGAATAATTATTCAAAATTTCACAAAGAGTGCAAAGAAATCGCAGCAGTAAATAAAAGTACAGAACATATAAAATCTGAAACTTAGTAAACAATCTGCACTTTCACAGGTTTGTAATTACTTCGTCCCATTCAACTGACAGACCAAACAACAAGATGTAAAATACTGAACAAAATTTACATCAACATCAACTGACCAAAGGCAACTGATTAGAAAAGATCTATAAAGAAGTAAATAGAAAAGCCTGTGGAAGAAATACGTGTTGGACACTTCCACATTACATTGAACAGTGAAAATGGTACCATTGTTCTGGCGTTTCTGTGTCCGCGGAACTTGATCTTCGTCTTGGGCTGGAAGACATGCTTCATCTCCTGCTGCTCCTTCTCCTCCTGCCTCTTCGCCCGTCTGCATGGCGCGCTCATCATCGTCTCTGCAACACACAATACCTGTGAGCACCTTTCAATCCTGCAGGTGGACATGCCACTTCTGGTAGCTTAAGTCTGAAGTGGCTCAAATTTGCTCATCAAGAATGAACTGTCTCTTAAACTCAAACATAGTACACAATACCTGTGAGCACCTTTCAATCCATTTCAGCTGTTTCAAATTGTAGCTGTAGGTGGACATGCCACTTCTGGTCCCTGTTCTATACCATTCTATCTAACTCTATCCTATCTAATTATCTCACTTTTTAATGTAAGGGTGTGCACACGACACCCAGGTGAGCACATGCTGCAGTTTGTAGTGTAAGTTGGGTCCATTAGGCATACTAAACACCTGTGAATGAAGGATCTAATTCCACATTTGGACCTAAAATGTTTCGAGGCTTTTCAAGACCATACCAGTACTTGTGGGTTTCAACTGTCTGTGTATATGTCCATACACACCAAAACTGTATTTTGGCTTTGTCTATATTCCATAAAATCTCAACTTGAATCTACTGCTATCTTAACTCTGTCAATATTCCATCTCGACTTGAATTCTTCCTTGGCTCTGTCTATACTCTCATCTCAACTTGAACCAATCCTAGGCTTCATCCATACAGTAATTCAACATAACCTACTCCTACATAACCATTACCCTACTCCTACATAACCATTACCCTACTCCTACATACCACTACCCTACTCCTACATAACCACTCCTATATTACCCTACTCCTACATAACCAGTACCCTACTCCTACATAACCATTACCCTACTCCTACTCCTACATAACAATTACCCTACTCCTACATAACCACTACTCCTACATAACCATTACCCTACTCCTACATAACCATTACCCTACTGTTAATGTCAATGATGATGTACCTGAGCAGCCTGGCCCTGCTCCTGTTGGGGAAGGGCCGTGGGTGGATGTCATCCTCCTCGCTGCTGGAGTCCAGATGTAGCCAGTCATCCTCCCGTGACCCGGTTCTCTGCTGACCTCGGCCAGATGCTGAACCACCACGACCAACTGACAAAAACAGAACCATTAATACTAGAACAAAGCATTATTACTGCAACAAGTGTTTACATTAATGGCTCTCATTTTCAAGGTTATGTACCGGTAACATCTTTCTATTTTCAAATTCATCATGTACCCGAATTTGACTCATGTCCCTATTCCATGTGTCATGCCTCCCCTCCCCTCTCAACCAGCCTTCCACCAACACAACTCTACCACCCCTACCTGCCAGATACACCAACCTGACTACCATCCCTACCTGCCTACCTCCCTTAGCTGTCTGACACCCACACCAGTCCTCCACCCCTACCTGCCTGACACCCCTACCAGTCCACCACCCCTACCTGCCTGACACCCCTACCAGTCCACCACCCCTACCTGCCTGACACCCCTACCAGTCCACCACCCCTACCTGCCTGACACCCCTACCAGTCCACCACCCCTACCTGCCTGACACCCACACCAATCCACCACCCCTACCTGCCTGACAACCCTACCTGCCGGATACACCAACCTGACTACCACCCCTACCAGTCCACCACCCCTACCTACCTGACACCCTACCTGCCTTACACCCCTACCTGCCTGACACCCCTACCAGTCTACTGTGCCTTCCTGCCTGATACCCCTACCAGTCCTACTGTGCCTTCCTGCCTGATACCCCTACCAATCCACCACACTCTACCTGCCTGACACCCCTACCAGTCCACCACCCCTACCTGCCTGACACCCCTACCAGTCTACCACCCCACCCCTACCTGCCTGACACCCCCTACCAGTCCACCATCACTACCTGCCTGACCCCTACCTGCCTGACACCCCCACCAGTCTACCACCCCTACCTGCCTGATACCCCTGTTTACTGTGCCCTACCTGCCTGATACCCCCTCCACCACCCCCTACCACCCACACCAAATCCACCCCTACCTGCCTGACACCTTCCAGTCTACCTGCCTGACACCCCTACCAGTCCACCATCACCTACCTGCCTGACACCCCTACCAGTCCACCACCCCACCTACCTGCCTGACACCCCTACCAGTCCACCACCCCTACCTGCCTGACACCCCTACCAGTCCACCACCCCTACCTGCCTGACACCCACACCAATCCACCACCCCTACCTGCCTGACAACCCTACCTGCCGGATACACCAACCTGACTACCACCCCTACCAGTCCACCACCCCTACCTGCCTGACACCTCTACCTGCCTTACAACCCTACCTGCCTGACACCCCTACCAGTCTACTGTGCCTTCCTGCCTGATACCCTTACCAATCCACCACACCCCTACCTGCCTGACACCCCTACCAGTCCACCACCCCTACCAGTCCACCACCCCTACCTGCCCACCACCCCTACCTGTCTACCATCCCTACCAGCCTGACACACCCCTACCTGCCTGCCTGATACCCCTACCAGTCCACCACCCCTACCTGCCTGACACCCCTTCCAGTCTACCATGCTTTTCTGCCTGACACCCCTACCAGTCCACCATCCCTACCTGCCCGATACCCCTACCAGTCCACCACCCCTACCAGTCCACCACCCCTACCTGCCTGACACCCCTACCAGTCCACGACCCCTACCTGCCTGACACCCCTACCAGTCCACCACCCCTACCTGCCTGACACCCCTACCAGTCCACCACCCCTACTAGTGTTCCACCCTACCTGCTGGCTGCCTGCCTGCAGATTCAACATGCTCCGCCCTGTCCGATCCCTGCCGGTCCTCACCGCTCTCACTCTCTGTGTAGGTGACCATCTCCTCACTCCCTCCACAGTCCACTATATCGTCCTGGTTACCACTGCTCTCATCCTTATCCTCTGACCCAGATTTACTCCCAACTTTACGCCGTGATTCAGCTCTGTCTTCCCCAGCACAAGCCCCTTCTGCTGCAGTCTCGGTTGGCACATCTGAAGATTCAGTCGCTTCAGCCTGGTGTTGCCGCTCCACGGACCTGCGGTCAAGTTCCGGGAGTAGAGATTGTGTGTTTGAGATGTCATCCTCATGACAAACTTCTGTAATATCAGATCTGGTATTCCGGGAGGAAGGGTCGATTTCCATTGCTTCTACTTGTTTGTTTAAAGATGAAGAACTAGAGTCATCAAGATCTATTCTGGATTCTGCATCTGAAGACGTTTTCAGTTCATCACGAATTGTTGAGGTAACTTCTAATACTGTAGCATCTATAGAATCTTGAGAGTTATCAACCCCTGATTCGGCTGGTGAGCTCCCATAGTTATCTCCCCCTGTTTGTCGAGTAATGGCTGATTCTCCAGTGCTTAGCCTATCGAATGGGGCAAATCCCACACGAATGGTACTGGCTGCCATTCCTTGGCTAGAATACTGAAGGCTTATGACAGGCTCAAGGAGTGTCTGGACGGATGAGGGAACTCCAGACCCCGAAATGTGGTCACTGTCAGATTGCCTTGTCGATGAAAGACTATTGGTGGGTATTGCACTTAGTGTTTGCTGCCTGATAGTGGCATGTGACTGAGATGTGAGGTCTGTTTGTTTGCTTGAACAGTCTGAAACTACACTGGAGGAATCACTCCTCACTGCTTGGGAGTTTGGTTCGTCTTCTGCTTGTTCCTTCAACTCAGCTGTCATGGATTCAGATTTGGAAGACAGAGATGCCGGATCACAGTCTGAGCTTCTCCGAAATATTTTAGAATCAACGTCTGCCCCTCCTGACGACCTGTCTGGTTCAATGCCTGCTGAAGAACCAGACCTGACAGAAGAAGAAAGGGTATCTGTTGTGGAAGAGGACCTCTCTGAAGGAGTGGACATGGGTTCGTCAGTGCTAGGACTAGAGTACATGCTGGTTGTGCTCGACTCCTCAACACTGTTTAAACGTTTTGGCCTCACTTTTATAGAAGAGTCTATGAGATCTGGGATACTAGGGCAGCTTTCTTGACTAGAAGATGGTTTTCTTGAACCCGGGTCCTCACTCTCACCCCCAGAGGCTCCCTCCACACCTGAATTAGTCCTTGAGGAAGTATTGACTTCTAGAGGACCTGACGAGGAAATACTCTGAGAGGATACTCGTTCACTTTCTGCCGCCTGGGACACAGACAAAGATTCCCCATCACTACTTTCTTGTGCCCCTGACACAGTTGATTCAGCTGCCTGTCCTTCACCTTGCTGTGACCTTGACATTCCTGGCTGAACTTGACCTTCTAATGGTTGACCTTGACCTGCTTCCTGTCCCCCTTCTGCCTGATCGTCATCACTGTTCCTCAATGTTCCATCCAACCACCTTGTCAGCATCTCAGACATCCTCTGCATGAGAGTGGCATGTGGACTTTGACGACCTGCAAATGACAGCATTATTATAAGACGGCAGTCTGTAAATAATCAAGTCTGAACCAGTGATTGACATCACCAGCATTGATCTACTCAAAAGGGAAATGATGACATGTATCAACATGCAGTAAGCCAGCGCAAGAGTCAATCAGCTGCCTCTTACTACAAGCATTGATTACTGAATCTTCCTATGCACTGACAGCAGTGAATGACATACATCAGTTTTATGCGAATATGGCCAATCTGAAAGACTGAACTTTTCCAACAATTCAGCTGTGAACAATCAACTAATGATGATAATGTGAAACTTTGTTTACTATGATACTACATGCAACCTTGCCCTTGGTGAAGACCTAGGGGGAATAACTCTGTACCAGTCTCATCCTGTATCCTCTCCCTCTCCGGCCTGGCGTTGGGTCCTGTGTCTGACCAGTCTCCCCTCAGTCTCAGTCTCTTGATGGGAGGCTGGCGGCTGGTTGTGTCACTTGATGTGGACTCAGACATGCCTCCTGAGGCTGACGAATCACCCTGAGAGGGCAGAAAGTAGATTGGTTAATTTTGACCTGATGTGTAGCAATGATGCTTTTGCGTATGATTTGCTCATCAACCTCCTGTGCATACATACAGCAACTTTGAGATGAGATGTGTCTATTGTATATGGCTGAAATATTGCTGACTAGTATAATTCAGAGTGAGTGAGTGAGTGAGTGAGTTTAGTTTTAACTCCGCACTCAGCAATATTCCAGCTATATGGTGGAGGTCTGTAAATAATTGAGTCTGGACCAGATAATCCAGTGATCAACAGCATGAGCATCGATCTAGGCAATAGGGATACCATGACATGTGTCAACCAAGTCAGCGAGCCTGACCGCCGGATACGCCTCATACGACAAGCATGGGTTATTGAAGGTCAATTCTAACCCAGATCTTCACAGGTCATAAATCATGATAAGACATTTAATTAACCAAGACACCAAACCAGACCACCCAATCCACTAATTTGCCTCCTACAACTAGCACTACTTAATCCCAAATTCCCATAGATTTTAAAAGATGGATGAAGCTTGTGAAGCATATAGTGAAGCTGTACCTGAGCAGACGCCAGTTTGGACAGCTCCTGTCTCCTCCTCTCATCCTGTGGAATACATTCATACAACTGTACTACTACAATTATGACAGTCATACTCATTCAGTTGAAATATATACTCTTTTGGACAGTCAGTTTTGTCTGAAATGATGTAAATATCAGTATAAACAGTGGTTTAGTATTGATGACGACGACAGACAATGCATGGTACAGTGTAACGAAGTACAACATCTACCCTTCCACTCAGCATGAGATAACCTGGATTCAAATACAACCATTTCAAACTGAATGGTATTGATGAGTGTGCTATCATGTTTATTGCAAGTATGAGGATCTCCATCATATTGATCCTCCAGGATGTGAATTACATCTCTTTTAGTTTTGATATCTGAAATGTGCTTAGTTGTTCATAATTATCTCCCCTTGACTATGCCCCAAATCTTTCCTGTAGCTTGGATGTTAATAATCATACATGTTTGTGAAGAACAACGTGAACATGGCAACAGTAAGCAAGGAATCAAAGGCCCACTTAGTTTGTTGATCATGATAAAGCGTATTATTAAATAGAGAGGTCCAACTGGTAAATAATTGCTTAGCGTCATTTACCAAATTTTCCTGGTTCTTTTGTAAATTTCTTGGAGTCTTTAAGATAAATTCAATCATGACTTGGAACGAGCTTATAGTGCTTATGAAATGAACCAGACAAAACCAACTTTGTGAAAAATATTGTTAATGAAAACAAGTGTTCCAGAATTATTTGTGTTCGATTATGAGAAAACATGATCGATTGCTTGGTCGTTTAGTCACTGCGACCATTCTTCAATTATTTCAATTAATCGGACCACCACTAACAAGCAAACATACATATCATATGCTTGAAAACAGGACAACAACAAAAATCAAACAATTCTCCATTTTTATTATCAATAAGTCTTTTTTTTATGTGTCATGCCTACCTGAGTGCTGAACAGGTAGATGTTCTCGGAGGAGTAGCTAACAAGGATGTCTTGACCAGCAGGGCTGTAGTTCAGGGATGTGATGCGGTATGCCTTGTGTTCTAGTGGGGCCATGAATCGACAGATCATCCCCGTTATACCGCGGCCAGTGTAGTTCCCTGAAACAAACACATTACTTCAGCTGTTGTTTCATCTAACCAGACAAACATGCAGTTGGTCAACAAGAGGTCTGTCATGTTCTACGTACCTGATGCTCTGGTTCCCATCATCCTCCTGTCAAACACTCGGACAGAGCTGTCAGAACAAGCCACTGCTAGGTGGTACGGAATAACGGGGTCAACAGCAAGGGAGGTAACTGCCTGCTTACAGTTGATGAGGATATCCTACAACCAGAGAGCATTTGGTTAAATCTAACAAAACTCTGTGTGCAAAATACAGAGGAGGTACCGGTAATCTGAATGGTTGAAGAGGATTATAAGGCTGTAATTGTTCTCAATCATCCTCTTGCTCTATTGTATCGGTATACTTCCAAAGTAGCATTGAACTGAGCTAACAGTCACACTGTTATTCAACCAGAAAGATATGTCATGTGTTTGTACATGCTTGCCCTTATATGGAGTCATTTAAAATAACAAACTGATGTAGACAGTTCTTACTGAGGACACAAACACTATATGTTTTAACATTTACAGGTGCAACTGGGCATTAGAAACTCTAAGGTTTTCATTTAAAGGACCCACATCTTTACAGCTTTCCTTGCTGCAGCTTGTCTTCATGCGGAGATCGAACCACCGCACCGTGCCGTCTTCACCACATGTCAGGAAGGTGGCCGCCTCGTTTGGCACCACCATCACCTGGACGAAACAAAACATCTCACTTTGATGACCTCCACCAACTGAACAGCAGGGAAACTGTTTTTAAGAATTTAAGATGTAACTTCTTACTTTTTATATAAATGTTGTTTAGTCCACCTACACCCCATATAAATACACAATGAGATTTAGAAAGTTGTCAAATGTAGCATATGATATATGTGGTAACTCTTTCTCAGTAAAATACGGATTCTAGTACTTTTATTAGGTTGATTCCCAACGATTATTCAAACCCACACTCTCAGTGTCATGTTTAATCCCAAATATAACATATGTTACACCACAGATATCTTTTGACAACTGCAGAAGTCAAAGTTGTCTTTAATCCAGCTGACATATTACTTGTAAATCAGACCATGGTATATCACTTTCAGAGGCTCTTGGCTTCCAATCACTGAATTCTCAATGAATCATTCTTCCAAATAAAAGCCATCTCTCACTGGTATATATTTTAGTCTGATCTGTTTTCTGTTATAAACATGTTAAAAATCAAAACTGAAATGTTTGTGTTTACATGAGGTGTCTGTCAAATATGTCGAAGTCATCTGATGAATAAAGAATTCCTTGGTTGGCAATTCATTCTTATTTTCCCTGACGCAATGTTTACATCCTGTTACTGACATACATTGCTGAACTGTACCAAAACCATCAACTCATTATGAAAACAAAATGAACTGTGATATGAATTATTCTATAACAATTCTCTGATCTTTGACAATATTTTCACACAGAAATTATCTCCCAGTCAATCTCAGACACTCTTCATCTCTTGCCTCTTTCCAATCTGAGCTAAAGACCTACTTATTTAATAGTGCCTTTCTAGAATGACTCTTAATACACACATATATGTGCGCTTAGAGCATGCATTGAGCATGGATTAATGCGCTATATAAATTCACTATTATTATTATTATTATTATCAAAATTATATTAAAAGAGAACAAGACCCACCTTCTGGGGGTCATTTACCATCCAAGGTCAAAAGGTCGACTTAACAACATTTGGACCATAATGACCTGTGATTAGGGCTATCATTATCGCTAGATCAAAAGAGTGAGTGAATGAGAGAGTTTAGTATTACGCCGCTTTTAGTTTGAGCAATATTCCAGCAATATCACGGCAGGGGGACACCAGAAATGGGCTTCACACATTGTACCCATGTGGGGAATCAAACCTGGGCCTTCTGTATGATGAGCAAGCGCTGTAACCACTAGGCTACCCCACTGCCCCTAGATCAAATGAATAAAATATCGGGGAAGAAATTATTGATAAAAAGTTCTGTACAACATGAGTGCCAACTAGCCCCAGCCAGATCCTTCCTTATTCAAGAAGATCAAAATGAAAGTGTCAAGAGTATGGTAAAGAAAATATCACTTGATGCATACTTCAATGAAATCTTATAAATAGATAGCATGTCATAAATGACTTTCAAAGTGTCACTTCATTAATATTTAAACAAATAAAACAGAAAACAGGGCAAACTTTATGCATACTCTGGTCTCTGCTAGCCTGGTAAACATGGTAAAGGTCATCATATCAGCTCTTACTTCCTTTGTCTGGATCTTATCTCAGATTATCTCCCCTTGACCATAACCTAATGCAATACACCCTGTGCTAACACAAGGAGAGAACTTTGCACTTGTATATCAGCTTATGATCAGCTTATGTAATGATAAAGGTCCTTTGACCCTCCAGACAGCAAATCAAAGTGGAACTTCTGACATCACGATATGTAAAGATCATTGAACTAACCTCGTATGTGGTTCCATTGTGACAGTCGAAGCGGTTCTTTCCATATGTGTCCTCCCGGTCGACCTCGGTAAAGAATACCCTCCCCACACCGGAGCAGGACACCACCTGGGAACACACACATGCATCTTAGGATAAATACAAACAGATATTAAACATGTCAAGCATCCACTGAACTGTGGTATTGATCCAAGGCTCTTATGTTTCAGTTAGCTAGTAAGTGAGTGAGTGAGTGAGTTTAGTTTTACACCGCACTCTGCAATATTCCAGCTATATGATGGCGGTCTGTAAATAATCGAGTCTGGACCAGACAATCCAGTGATCAAAGGCAAGCTAGTAAGTGAATGTTTTCAAGCCAAGGTCAATAAACCTACATCAGCAGAACTGAAGTGACCGAAAAGTCCATGCTGAAGTGACACGAAACCAGTGAGTGTCCATGATGTCACTTGAGGTAAGGACACAGTCAGCTGGGTGACTTGAGGGTATATAAGGATACACAGTCAGCTGGGTGACTTGAGGTATAAGGATACACAGTCATAGATAATGATGGGCACCTGAAATAGGCTTTAATGGGGCTTGATGGTTTCAAGAATATTTCACTTCTGTACATGATGTAACAGCAATGGATTCATGTGTATGTGACTGCTTGCATTTATCTGCTCTTACAGTTTTATAGTTCTAGCTCACTGAGGTACCATGTTGCAGTTTATGTGGATACCCCAGTCAGACACAGTATACTGACTCCGAGTCAGCCAGCCCTTGAACAAAATGCCAAACATCAGGCAGGGCATCAACAAGTACCATCTTTTTAAGTCTTGGTATGATGTGACCGGTGATACAACCACTGACATTCTACTCTCCAAGTGATTCTGTTAGTAATGATAAACTCTACATGCAATCCTCACATGTCGGTCCCTGGAGTTGGGCAGGAATTTGGCACTGAAAATGTTTGATCTGTGGCCTGACCGTATAGATACCACCGTCTGAAATACAGATACACACAGCCATGAGGGAAAACAATCTAAGCATTAGATCAAAAGGTGAGGTGAGGTGAAATTGGGTGAGGTGTGGTGAGGTGAAATTGAGAATACGTCATGGGCTTCATATTTGACGACATATGCACGGCATGTGTGTGTGTGTATGTGTAGGTGCGGCTGCTTGTACTAGCCCAGACTGAAGCTGGTTTTATAGTGCTAGCCCACTGAGATACCACGCCGCAGTGAAGCATGAATACCCCACTCAGACACATTATACTGACTCTGAGCCGACCAGTCCTTGTTGTACCCATTAATGCCGAACGCCAGGCAGGGACCAACAAGTACCATATTTTAACGTCTTTTGGTATGACGCGGTCTGGGATCGAACCCGCGACCTTCCACTCTTCAGGTGGACTCTCTAACCACTACATCACGGAGGCGGTCTTAGATCAAAAGACATCATATTATGGACTTAGTGTTTGTTGTCACAATCAGTCATTCTCAATGTTCTCTCTTCTCCTTGTTATACATATACATTGTATTCTTGCAACATACAGTTTTCTGGCATCATGTGTACATAAACAAGCCAACAATTCCTTTTGACACAGACTACAATATTACAAGCAGACGTCAAGTAATCGAGTGTTTACCACACAAACCAGTGGTAGACAGCATCAGTGAGGACAATCAGTTGGGAAACAAACAAGGAAAGAGGAGACGGCAGTGAAATCTCCACAGTGAAGACTACATACAAGACTTTGATTCCCAACATACATGTAACCTGACACAAATAACAATGACCTGGCTACAGGTGCTCCAGACCAGTGAAGGATATCGATTCAATGGAACATTGTCTTGTATCTCATCTTATGTAATGTATCTAGTGAAAACTGAGCCCATAAGGCAGTCCTCACCCTATAATGATAATAAGCCTATCAACCTCTACCCTACAATGATAATAAGCCTATCAACCTCTACCCTACAATGATAATAAGCCTATCAACCTCTACCCTACAATGATAATAAGCCTATCAACCGCTACCCTACAATGATAATAAGCCTATCAACCCCTACCCTACAATGATAATAAGCCTATCAACCTCTACCCTACAATGATAATAAGCCTATCAACTGCTACCCTACAATGATAATAAGCCTATCAACCTCTACCCTACAATGATAATAAGCCTATCAACCTCTACCCTACAATGATAATAAGCCTATCAACTGCTACCCTACAATGATAATAAGCCTATCAACCTCTACCCTACAATGATAATAAGCCTATCAACCTCTACCCTACAATGATAATAAGCCTATCAACCTCTACCCTACAATGATAATAAGCCTATCAACCTCTACCCTACAATGATAATAAGCCTATCAACCTCTACCCTACAATGATAATAAGCCTATCAACCTCTACCCTACAATGATAATAAGCCTATCAACTGCTACCCTACAATGATAATAAGCCTATCAACCTCTACCCTACAATGATAATAAGCCTATCATCAACCTCTACCCTACAATGATAATAAGCCTATCAACAACCTCACCCTACAATGATAATAAGCCTATCAACCTCTACCCTACAATGATAATAAGCCTATCAACCTCTACCCTACAATGATAATAAGCCTATCAACCTCTACCCTACAATGATAATAAGCCTATCAACCTCTACCCTACAATGATAATAAGCCTATCAACCTCTACCCTACAATGATAATAAGCCTATCAACCTCTACCCTACAATGATAACAAGCCTATCAACAATGATAATCTACCCTACAATGATAATAAGCCTATCAACCTCTACCCTACAATGATAATAAGCCTATCAACCTCTACCCTATAATGATAATAAGCCTATCAACCTCTACCCTACAATGATAATAAGCCTATCAACCTCTACCCTACAATGATAATAAGCCTATCAACCTCTACCCTACAATGATAATAAGCCTATCAACCTCTACCCTACAATGATAATAAGCCTATCAACCTCTACCCTATAATGATAGTTAGCATACATTCATGTATGGGGGTATAACAACATTAGTACTAAGATAATTTTGTGAAAAAGGAACCAGTGTCCCAATCCACAAAACGTTCATAGCGCTACGGCATTCGTAAGCCTATGATAAACTACTGATTACTACAGGTCGTAACATTACAAACGCCTTTGGATCGGGACCTGACTGTCAAGTTTACCATGGTTACAGCCCTTGGTCCACTTATACAAAACAATTTTAGTGCTACAATGATTGTAACTCCTATACTATAACCCAGATATACAACAGTGGCAGCACTAAGGTCATGTAGAGTACACCAGTTATCTCACCCTCTGTGTGAAGGGGTTGGTGATGACAAGATGCTGGTCATCTGACCCAGAGAGGAGATATTGACCCTGGTCATTCCAACAGATTGTATTAACCTGAAACAAACAGGCAAATAATATAAAATCAAACAAGAACATTTCATTAACATTTCAAACATGTGAACTAAATAGTGAGGAATGTTGCTTTGTGTCACAGTGAGCAGTTTTTCACACTCTCGGGTATACTAGTAGTTGAGAAAAAGACACAGACATGGGGTTTATTGACATGATATATCATGTTCATCTGGCTTTGACAACATGAACAACAAAATAGCCAAAAAATGTGAGTCAGGTATAAATTTTGACTGACTAAATGTCCATTTTTTGTGCCCTTCAGCCTCCTCTTGGCCACCATATTCATAACAAACACTTCCAAACGTAATGGATCTGTTTGATAGAGAGAAGGCAGGCATTGTTGGTAATTCAAATGTGAGTCAGCAATAAACAGTCAAGAGTGGATTAAGGTATATTTGTTTTCTCTGTAATCATGGTACAAGTATCAGAAACATATATATTACTTGACAAACACATCCCAAACAAAGGCACTATTCATTATTTAACAGACATTTGTAAGAATATTCCTGTTACTGGTATATATAACAGCAGCATTAAATAATCCAGTATGGACTACACAATCCAGTGATTAATATTATGAGCAATGATCCCTGCCATCAGGATGTGAATGACACACACTCAACTAGGTCACTCAGCAGGACCACCTGATCCACTTAGTCGCTGCTTACGGCCAGCATAGTTTCCTGTTCTATTATATAATCCTATAGGTGCACGTTGTACAGTGCCAGGAGCCATTGCAAGACATTCCCTGTTGTCATATTGGGTAACGTTGCTAAGTAACAATGTGTGCGTGTGTGTGTCTCTCTCTCTCTCTCTCTCTCTCTCTCTGTGCGTCTCTGTGTGTGCATGTGTGTGTGCACGTCTCTCTGTCTGTCTGTGTGTGTGTGTGCGTGCATCTGTGTGTGTGTGTGCGTGCGTGCGTCCGCGTGTGTGTGTTCGAACCCCCTGAACCCCTCTAGGGTCCGCCAAAGCTACTGCAGCTAAAACCCATCACTTCTCATCATATACCACATTACTTCAACCTTAAACCATGCAACACTTGTCTAGTTATAGGTTGTGGGCAAGTGGTGGAGGTCATCGCTACCACCCCCAGGGACCAAGTGGCACGATATTTTAATGTAGATTAGCCAACCAGTGAAACATTTGGATATAATAGACACATTGGACGGGCAGGGATTTTTTTTAATGGCTCATGGTATCCATGTACCCAGAAGTGATCAAAACTGTGCCAAAATGTGCATTGTAAATGGACATAATTCAGCACCTGATGACTGAAGGGCTGCATAACTCAGTGTACACATGTTACTATTTATATTACCATCATGTCATCTAATATCTATATCATATCATTTATATTGTGTATACCATATGTATATCATGTATCATTTATATCATGTATCATTTACATCATGTATGTCAACCATCCATGTCATCTATATCATGTGGGGTTTCAAGTGTGTATCATGTATATCATGTGGGTTTCATATATGTCATGTGTATCATTTATATCATGTCATGTCATCTTAATCATCATGTGTATCATGTACATCATATCATGTATCTATATTTGTATGATGTTTCTATCATTTATATCATGCAACCAGCATGCCATCTATATCATGTGGGTTTCAAGTGTGTACCATATATGTATAACATTCCATCATGTCATCTATATCATGTGGGTTTTAAGTGTGTATCATGTATATCATGTGTATCATTTATACCATGCAACCATCATGTCATCTATATCATGTGGGTTTCAAGTGTGTATCATGTATAACATGTGTATCATGTATATCATGTGCATATAGCTTGTATCATTTAAATCATGTGTACATGATACATGTATCATTTGTATGATTTCTATCAAGTGTATATTGTGTGTGTATCAAGTGTATAACATTATAGCATGTATACTGAGTCAAAAAAGAAACTTCACATTCTTTCTTCAGGGCACTATAAAAGAACAAGAGATGGTAAGATGGTTAAATTGTTATTATTTCATTGCTGAGATCTGTGTGATGTACTCGATACACTGACAGTGCCATAATCAGTTCCATTAGGCTACACGGCCGTTCCAAAACATGGGTATACAGAATGTCAAATCTAAGGGTAAACCTGGATTCATCGCTAAAACGACTTCGATTCCAGTCTCTCTGGGTAAGCGTTGGCGTTGATGAAAGCATCAATATTGCCCACCGATATGGACGTCGAGAATGGAGATTGGCAGCCATAACCGATTTGAATGGTCTGTGAGGACAGTCGACCTCTAAACATCTCAGCCCTGGTTCGTGTAGCCGGCAGAAAAAATCCTGCATGTTTCACGAAATAAATGCCTACATTCACGCACAATATTTTACCAGCGTGCGTTCATGTTGCACATTTGACAATCGTGGTTGTTTTTAATTCTTGCACCGATCGCGAGCATGTGATCGACTTTTGGTGTTCTGAGTCGAAAGATAGGGGGAACAAGTATCATCAACATTATTTTTCAAAACATTTTGTGAAGTTTCTTTTTGACTCAGTATATATTTCCCCAGAAAACTATAAATTATAAAGGAAACAATAATTCATAAAATAAAGTTTCTCTCAGCTAATTTGACTTCCAGCTAATTTGACTTGCGAATGATGATAACATGCTCTGAAATGCAAGGAAATTACATCTAAATTTCAAATTTTTACGGAGAGACCTTGCCACTTTCTGGCTCGGGCATGCACACGCATCTTCTGGCTATGTGTTTTAGGAACGCAAAGCTGTTATCGTAGCGCGAACACTGTATAATGATATAACAAGCTCAAAGGGACCACTAATTTTAGTTCATTATAACCGTAGCTCAGTATACACATTTCAAATAAAATGATACAGCAATTGGATGTGGCCCAAAACAAAAGTTCACATCTGTTATATCATTATAAGCATGTTCTTATGAACATAGTTCACTGTAAATTGAGTGGATATTGTGTGTATACCATCTATACCATCACTTGGTGTTTGGAAATTGTGCGCTATAAAAGATGACTTATTATTATTATTATTATTATCTATCCCAGTAGAATAGAGCAGAATCCTAGTGAGGAGATACCAGTGCTGGTTGGTCTACATATACTATATTATAGTCTCAATTTTTCAGTGTAAAACCAATCTGTACATGCTTAGCTTTAATTATTATGTTTGACTTAACAGCATTATTTGAAGAATTCAAACATAATTCTAAAAGCAAAAATCGAAACCTTGGCATCATTTTCATTTTATTCTGGATTTCAGACCTGTTTCACAAACCAATTGTATTGCAATGACTGTATTTAAGTTCTTAGTGCCATAACTACTTTGTGAAGCAGGGTCCTGTTTGTTTATATGAATACTTACACATCCACTGTGAACTTCTAGTCTTCTGTCCAACTTCAACCTTTGGATGAATTCCCGACTCCCTGTGGAAATACCAAAAACGAAGTAACAGACATTTTCAGCTGGAGATAGTATCATATCATATAATCAGTTAAAGACATCACTGCATTGCAACATTGTCGGGTATTGTCTTGGAACTGTATGTCAATAAAGAAATGCAGCTGCATGTGAAAACTTTATGGAAACATGTACCGATTAATGAGAAGAAACTTACATCTTATTCTTAACTTCAGAAATTACACAATGACCTGTAGAAAATATGTTTTTCTCTTTGATGAACATTTTAAATTTTAAGTGTATCATAATGCTAACATTCAATATGTAGTTAGATCATTGATAGAATTAAATGCTAACAATTTGACCTTTCTGCAAATCTGTTCACACTTTGAGTAATTTCCCTATCTGAGTGTATCATTTCTACAGTAGAGTGCATATCTGGATAATTTAATAGTGTCCAGCACAACACTCAACCACAAACTTAAAACAGCTTTACTATACAAAACAGCAGACATCCTTCAGAAGTAAATATTTCATTTGCATCTGACATATTTTAGTAATTCTTTGACAGGTTTAATGCTACTTTCATTGACATGTATAAACCATGATAGACTTGTGGTTGCGTACAAACATACATGAAATAACAAAGAACATTTACAGCTATTTTTTTAGTATACATGGTATAAGACAAAATATTATGGTTGTCAACTTCTTCTTCTTTATTGTAAACAAAACGTTTCTGGGCTTTTTCTTGCCCCTTCGTCAGGTGAAAAAGGGCATGAAATACCAACTTCTATATGCCTCTCAAGAACCTTATTTCACTGACCCTGGTCAACAGGGTTTATATACCTGATAAGTGTCTCATGAGTTTGGGATTGATGAAAATGAGCCCCCGTAACTATCATATATCATGAATGTGGATTCATTATTCCAAATCTGTTCAAAGTGTTAATCAACATCTAGATGATAATTCTTTGAAAACTAATAAACAGATTACAACATTCTTATGTCCACACAGATGGAAATATCATAAACACTATTCTCAACTTTGGCAGGAACATGGCACTTGGCATTTCAAAGGCCTATAAGATAACGCCTCACTGGCAACCTCCAACATTTACCCCATGGGAGGCACCAGCAAAGATAAACAAATGTCAAATTGGGAACATATTCTAACACCGCCAATATTGCCTGTAGTTGGGATAAAATCACACGACATATATGATGTTAAATTATTTACGAAATAGTCGTTGATATCAACTTAATATTACTACTGCAAACTTGAAAGTTAAAAGTTGCCACGATCAGCTGATCGAATGCGCATATGCCCTATTTGGGGGAAATGTCAATTTCGCCAAACCTCTTGCGACGTCGTAGAGTTTTGCTCTTGGTTCAAATCCATATGGTCTTCTCTGCAGTGATGGAAACATTCCAGCCGAAATTATTAGAAGTTGACTCGATATCCCTATCTCTCTTAACTGAGCAGTAAAAGGTCAAGTTCTTTTGTTAGCCAAAGATTCCAAATGAAAACATAGCGGCAGCCATTTTGAGGAAATTATCAAGGGCGGGTAACTCTGTCAAAACCAGAATCCTCGTTCCACTGTTAGCAATTTTACCAAACATCCTAAGGCAAGAAATATGAATGTAAATATACTCTCTCGTAGACTCAGCTTATGGTTTTGTATGCGTTAATTATTTACCGACCGCCCACCTATTTCCAGGGAACCCCACAAGTTAGAAATTAATTCTACATATATTATTGCAAGTGGGTATAACTAACATTTTATGACGCTTTTATCAATGACAGCACGATCTCTGTCAATGGATGACTTCCCCTTACTTCAGTATTGTTTGGTGGTTTGTCGAATACCAAATGTTTCTTGAAGGGACATTGTCGCCCTCACAATAGAAGCAAAAAGTGTCAAATTAACCAAAGTGCGACAACGTACCTTCTACGTTCCATAACTTATACGGAGGATAATATCTATATGTAAACAAAAGCATGTTATATCAGGGAGACTATATAAGGTTGTAGAGTATCCCTGGTTATATTCACCATTCAAGTTCTCTTGAAGGAAACCTAACAAAATTTAACTTTAGTTTTAACAATTCACGGATAATAAATTAAATGGGCATTTAAATTATTGTACAAATATATGACAGGGTTGTTTCGTAAAGGGATGGCATCCTCGATGGAAACCACCGATAGGTAAACCTACAACGGTGAGCTAATATCACTGTTTATATAAAGGGGTTCATGAGTGAGTTGAGTTTTACGCCGCTTTAGCAATATTCCAGCAATATCACTGCGGGGGACAACAGAAATGGGCTTCACACATTGTACCCATCTGGGGAATCGAACCCGCGTCGACGACTCATGAGGGCTCGTGAGAACACAGCTATAATTAACCTGACACGAAATTAAATTTAATACACAGTAAGTTCGTATTATGTGCAAGTAAACGTCATAAACAGTGGTTTCATATGCTTCATTTACTATGGCCAAATATCGTATGAATGCGCATTTGAAAATATAGAAAAATACGGAAAAGACAAAGCAGGTTATCATTTTTGCCTTTTCGTGTTTACATATCACATATTTAAATATATCTAAGAATGTGTATTAATAATTCATAAACTGATTATTCATAAAGGGTCTCGTGCCTTACGACTGTTCAGAAACCAGCGTGTCAGATTAACTTCGAATTTGGATGACCTCATCAGTTTGTGATATCGTAGACTGACTGACTGACTGAGTTGAGTTTTTACGCCGCTTTTAGCAATATTCCAGCAACATCACGGCGGGGGACACCAGAAATGGGCTTCACACATTGTGCCCATGTGGGGATTCGAACCCGGGTCATCGGCGTGACGAGCCAACGCTTTAACCATTAGGCTACCCCACCGCCCCCTGATATCGTAGAAGACAGGGACGATTCGTGATTATACGTGATATGACCTTTGGGTCCCATAGTACCTAACACGGTGTCTACCGTCAATATCCACACAATGTGACAATTTGCTATCGGATGCGTTAGATAAACTTTGTGCGAAGATGGTAAAAGAATTAAATTTATCATCAGGTTGGACATGTGAACAAAGTATATCATGTTGACTTTGTACAGACTTATCTTGAAGCAATCGTTCCATGCTGATTAATCGTCGTCTCGTTAAATAAAAATTCAAATAATCATCAGACGCGCACCTGCTTCTCATGCATGTAGAGCGTGCGCCTACTGGGTGAGTGAGTTGGGTTTTACGCCGCTTTCACCAATATTCTAGCAATATTACGGCAAGGTACCTAGGAAATGGACGCCACACGTTGTAACCATGTAAGGAATCGAACCCGGCCTTCATCGTGACCCACGACACATAACCACAAGGCTACACCACGAACCATTGAGCGAATGAGTGCTTTGAGTGAAAGGCGTACTCCCCAGTCTAGTGCCTAAACTCACTAACTCACTGATGCCTACATCCACTATAGATCATGACGTTGAAGTAAATGCCTTGTGTGCCACTATTGATTGGGAATACATAATTAATATAGTGAGCAGAGAAAGGCTCATTTCATAACTTGCTTGATAACGGTGTTAGCATCTACACAGAAACGTCGCCTATATTGTAATAAAGGACCTGTATATCCATAGAACTATCCCCTTGTTCAAAGACATATTTGTTAAACAACCCGTACAAAATTTGTCAGGACTTCCAATCTGACCGTGCGTATTACCTCGTTATTTAGGGGAGCGTTGGGGATAGCCTAATGGCTAAAGCCTCCGCTCGTCACGCTGAAGACCCGGGTTCAATTCCCCACATGGGTACGACATGTGAAGCCCATTTCTGGTGTCCTCCGCTGTGATATTGCTGGAATATTGCTAAAAGCGGCGTAAAACCATACTCACTCACTCCTTATTCAGGGCATATGTGAGTGAGTGAGTTTTGTTTTACGCCGCAATCAGCAATATTCCAGCTATATGGCGGCGGTCTGTAAATAAATAAGTCTGGACCAGACAATCCAGTGATCAACAGCATGATCATCGATCTACGCAATTGGGATACGATGACATGTGTCAACCAAGTCAGCGAGCCTGACCACCCGATTCCGTTAGTCGCCTCTTACGACAAGCATGGGTTGCTGAAGATCAATTCTAACCCGGATCTTCACGGGTTCATGGCATATGAACTGTATATATGCATACTATCATAATGTATAGTAAGAGACTAGAATATGTTTCATGCTATTTAGATTAACCATTGTCCATTACTTTTAATATTACTTATCGATATCTTGTCTCGTGGGTCTCATTTGCCTCATTCATTTTACATCTGTAAAAATCGTCAAAACTATGATGTTCGTAACAATAGCAGTGTTTATGCTTGCCATCGTTGTATCCATTGTGTTGCCTTATCAGTGATGTCTAAGTCAACTTCGAGGACTCATTGTCCTGTCACAACTGACTTCCCTGCTATAACGCGGTTGTCCCACCGTAACCGGTTATACCGCGTTAGGCATTACAGACTTAATGTCTCAAAACTTTGGGTCCTAAACATTAACAAGATTTCACACTTTAATCCAACTCATGGAGAAGCATGTACAATGTGAATGACCCCCTAAAATGTACGTACAAAGTAAGTGCCCCCTGCATATCATGTACAACATCAATCACTCCTTGTTTGAGTGGCATTTTTAGAAAGCATAGAACAAGTTTTTTGATAAAACCCATGTACCGTTGTCAAGCAAGAGTGATACATGATACATGACTACCTCCCCATAAGAACATAAATGATATCCTCATGGTGATCCCCTTTCCCCAGAAAAATGACCCCCTTAAAATTTCTCTCTTCTCTCCCCCAAAAAAAAGTCATAAATTATGAAAGGTCCCAAACTGAGAACATGTTCAGACCCTGAACCAACAGGGTACTTCGCGACATGGAAGCAGTACATATGATTGGTGCATGGCACTAAAGGCTAAAACTATCAAGAGAAGACTGTAACCCTTGACAATTGTGTGTTGTACATTACCAATGACGACCGCATGACGACTTAATGTTTCTAAGCAGCCAGTACAAAATGTCATAAATGTCGAAAGTAAAGGACACATTTACAACCCATCTAGAACAAAACAACCTTGACAAATACAATTCCCCCCCCCCCCCCCCCAAGGGGATTGTGACGCTAAAATAGCATCACGTTATCTAATGTCACAAAAGGTAAATATATCTTGTGTAGCTTTATATAGTGTTATCACCCAAGTAGTGACTGTTTATTCCCCTGTGCTATCTATTGGCTGGCTGACAAGCGGCGGACCCATATAATAGTACACATGTCCCCTAAGTATAGTGGTTATCACTGGCGGATCCAGAGGGGGTCGAACACCCCCCTTCCTCCTTGAAAATGACTAAAGACCACATAATGTTTTGCAATGGCGGAGCCAAGGTGGCGTTCAGGGGGTTCAACCCCCTGAATCCCCCCCTTTGAAAATGTCTGGATCCGCCTATGGTTATCATGTACTTTTACGTAACTGTTTGCTTCATTATGTATTTTTAACTGAGCTCTTTTTTTCCATAACTTAGATGATTTCTCGAGCATGATAATGTTAATCTTTATGATTCGGGACCACTCGTGTCCTTCCGGAAATCAGTCGTGACGCAATCATGTTACGGGAAAGACCGAGTAGCGACGAACGCCAACAAGTGGAAATTCTTACATCGATTTATTATTTTTCATCAACAAAAAATAAATATACATAACATATGACACTGTATGTGATCTGTGATGGACATGGAGTACTATGTACACATGTATAACAATCAGTGACGACATGATCAAATACACATCACCGTAACACTAGGTAACATATTCAACGTTAGCACTTAGTACCAAGAATTATTATGCTGTTTTACATTCCCAAGTTACATAATCATCATTATCACATCTGGGTAACGGAATATATAAATATCATCGTAATTATCAGCACCTATATCACAAGAATTCCATCATTTCCGTGAATACTAACGCAAAGCTCTTCAGCATAAGCGAGTCATAATAAATATTTGGGCACTGTCGCAGCCATTTATGGCGAAGCGGAATGTCTGTACGGGATGGTGAGAGAGTGTCTTCGGATTGGCGCTGCTTGGAACAATACTTCTGTTGTACCAATTCGTGCCAGCTGAACGTGGGTGGTTGTAAAATATATGTTATTTTGGTAGTATCCGCTGCCGGTCGTTCATAGACCAATGTCCAGCATGATCCAGTCGAGACACGGATTCTGACCAATGCCCTGCCGATGTCTGAAGCCATCATGCGTATATCTCAGCCATATTGAGCAAAACAAAATGGCTAAAGTCGGGGTATAATATAACAACATTAATGTATTTATAAGAATATCCAGCACTTTAGTTTCTTGAGGAACGGGTACACTGGCAGCTGTGATGGTATGACAATCACGGCATGACAAGAGACAAGGTCATAATGTCTTTGAGATCAGTCCTTATATGGCCCTAGATCAGTTATTCTATGGTTAACGATCAGTCATTCTATGGCCAAAGATCAGTCATTCTATGGCCAAAGATCAGTTATTCTATGGCCAAAGATCAGTTATTCTATGGCCAAAGATCAGTCATTCTATGGCCAAAGATCAGTTATTCTATGGCACAAGATCAGTCCTTATTTGGCCCAAGATCAGTCCTTATACGGCCTATGTTATTCTATGGTCCGATGTCAGTGACTTTATCACTGTCTGTGTAAACGTTGGTTCAGTTCCACTGTTGACACCACAGTTTACACACTGAATGTCTATTGCCAAGTATATGTTGAGGCTGCGCACAATATAATACTATGTGTAATAACATGGTCAACCTCTGTTCTTGATCACTCTAGTTCTTCCGTGACTGGTTAAGGCGTAGAACTAGAGGAATGGTGGTGGAACAAAGCCTTCAAGGTTTCGTGCTTCGTTGTGCAATTTGTTTACCATTTGTTTCCTGACAGTCAGTAAATGGTCTCATTATCAAGAACATTGATAATGCCATGTATGACCATACCGTGACCGGCCGAGGTCAAGCTCTGACCGCCATTGAAAGACTTATGTAGAGAACGCTTGTCACGGGGACACAACTCTTGTCGGACTACTGAGCGGATTTGTCGCGAAGCAATTCGTTGACTCTCTGCTGTGCTTCTTCGGGGAGTTTTTCTGGTTCCGTGAGAATGCAGGAGTTGAGACTTATGTGCCGCAGTGCTGATAAAACACCTGGGAAAAGAAAATCTAGATATAATTAATTCTGTGAAATACGACAACTGAAAAAGGAGTTGTTAAGTGAACTCAATACAAGCAAAACATAGATATATATCTAGTGTATTATATCTACCCTCATTCAGATAAATACCTAGCCAGATTGACGTACAACGAGATGACCAATCAAATTACACGAGACAAGTTCTGCTGAAACACGGCCATGACTAAGCTGGCCGCATGGAACCGTCGGAGTTACCAATATGGCAGATGGTGACAGTAACACTATAGGCAAGTCTTTGGATGGAGATCGGGTATTTATGACGATAAGTGAGTGAGTGAGTTAATTTAAGTCACCTCGGCAGTATTTCAGCCATATTGTGACTTGATCAAAATATACAGTTATCACGATAAAATGGAGAGGGGAGTCTTCCGGTAGAACTAGAAAACAAGATGCGACATTGTGAAGCAGGTACTTACATGGCCGGAGATTGACGAGAGTGAGATGTTCTTGTGCCCAGTCACGCACGGTCTGGAGGAAGGAAGTAGGTGTGGCGCTGGTCACAACACGGGTGTAGGACTCAAACAGCGGACGTAGTATTACACTAAACTGTCACGGGTTAAGGAAAATAAACTGCTTTCATTGGATAAAATACTCACGTAGAGAATGAACGTCTTTGAGAGGCGTTTAGAAGTAGCAGTATTAAGTAAGTTTAAGATATATTATGGAGGAACAACGTCTTTGGGAAAATTAGGATCGGAGTAGGTTCAAATACCATTATTAAGCAAGTGAAGTGCAGCAGAGAAGGGTTGAGAAGCTTATATACGAACACATTCATGCATATATCGTATCCATACAGGGTCCCAAATACTGGCGTAGGCTAACTGGCTCCAAAATATTGACGGACACTTCCGTGCATGGTGTTATAGAATTCAATATTCTTGACGTTAAACCCCATATCGCCTTGAAATAGCATGTTTGTAACAACTCTTTCTTATAAAACACTTAAACACTTAAAGGCGACAATTTGTGTTCGAGCGACACGTTTCATTGAAAGGATACGATCCAGAACTTCCAGTTTTCTTGTGTTCTTGACTTGAGATAGTCTCGAACATGGTCTCCAGGTGACAGAGTGGCTTCTCAACAACCGCAATACCCGTGGCCGGAAGTTGTTGGTGAAACGTCCTGGAAACATGAGAACATGCATGAACACTGGCAACAGCTATACAACTGACACACACACAGAACAACTCGGCATAAACAATTGTTGCACAGTAGGACATACACTGACTCCACTGCAACAATCCCCACAGATCAGAGTTAGAACTGATCTTCAGCAACCAATACTTGTTAGAGGTGATCATGCTCAATGACTTGGTCATCGTATCCCATGGCCGATGGCCATAAAATCAATCATTGTTTACAGATTATTTACAGACCGCAGTCAAATATATGGAATATTAATTAGTGCGGCTTTAAAGAACACAAAACTATTACAAGAAAAAGTTAAGTACATAAAAATTGTGTCTATGAATGGCACATTTGGCTATACTTGGGCCTTACTATTCCTGATACAGATAGCTTCAAATATAAAGAAAAGTCCACGTACTGGATTTGTGAGTTTAAGTCTGCTATTTCCTGTCTGAGCGCTTGTAGTTCCTCTTGTTGACTCTTCAGATCGAACTTGAGCCCACGAACATGTTCTGCAGCTGCCGTGAAAAATAAGGACTTCAATAAAAAAACACGTAAAGTCACGTATCTTACATAAAACAAATTAAAGGACACCAGATTTTGTCCATAAGACTATAGTTAATCTGTCGTCTATTGAGCAGCAGTAAATGGGTACCCGGTAGGAAGAGATGGAAATGTGTCTGTTAACCCAGTACCCCACTAAACAGCTTTGGTTGCATAGTCTCCACAGAGGTTGTACCGGTTGACATAGTTGTAAGTTTCTAGCTCATGCAGTAAGTTATCTTTCCATGCGTATATGTAATAAGGGAGTGTGGGTTTACATCGATATCAGATATAATTGCAGCAGCTTCACGGCAGGGAATACAAAGAATGTGCTCATTGGGAGCAAGAGTTGTCTAGCGGTTAAACGTTGGAGTTTATATTCGTGTTCTACAACAACAACAACAACAACAACAACAACAACGCGTGTATGGCGCTGAACCCCATACACGCATAACCGAAGTTGGTCGGTTTGTTGTTTAACGCCGCATTCAGCAATATTCCAGCTATATGGCGCAGGCGGCGGTCTGTTCATAATCGGGTCTGGACCAGACAATCCAGTGATCAACAGCATGAAAATCGATCTACGCAACTGGGATACGATGACATGTGTCAAGTCTGACCACCCGATCCTGAAAGTGCCACACGTTGCTGTAATGGCGGCGTACCCATCCGGAGGGACGAATCCGAGACTTCAGTGTGGGGAATCGAATCCGTGCCTTCATCGCAATGAACGCGAAATTTCCTGGAATAGAATCGAACCTGGTCTTTGGAGGTTACCCCACCGCCCCTCATACATTGATACATGAGTAACAAGAGATTTAATACCTTTGTGTAACTTTGCCGATTTACTTTCTTTGGTTGAGACGCTTTTGTCCTCTGCGAGGGCAGGCACCAATTCTTTTAAGGTTTCAAACCCCGTCTGAAATTGAAAATATAATTATGACAATATAACAAAGTAAATACAAGTATATATAGATGTGTAAGTACATTTGCAAGCTCATATGTAAATTATGATAATCAACTTAAAATTTAGAGTATATATTTTACTGTGGGTAAATGCGGCCTCTGAACATACCTGTATTTTATTTCTCCTTCGGTACTCGGCGTTAATATGAGAAGACCTCTTGTGGCGGGGGACGGGATTGACAAGCCTGCCACCTCGGGGACTTGGTGACACGGGGCTGTCGGAGGGTACATGCGGCGGCGGGGAGGGGCTGGAACCAGGGGGACATTCTGGTAACGGTGGGACCGAAAACAACGAGTGTGCGGTAGTTGATTCTGGTTGTAACTGTAATGAAAAAACCCTGATTAATTTAAATTATTTAAAATCAATAAATATGTCTGGAAAATGTATCGCCTCAATTTCTGGATGACTGAAAAATCCTTGAAGTCACTATTTTGTTGAAGCGTTGGAAGAGTGTTGGTGTTGTCCAGCTTGAAACTTCAATGACCTTGAAACTTGAGACCAATAACGATTGTGTTAATTAAACACAAACATCCAAACTCAGATCAAATAAAGATGGCAGGACGTGTAGTAGACAGTTCCAAAACGAATAATACAAAAAACACTCAACCGTTCTAATACAAAACAAGTTTAAACTTAATTCTTTAAGTTTAAGAAGAACAACAGGTGTCTGTATATATGTGCCTGCAAAGTGTTAAAGGACCTGTTGGGGCAGGAGAAGGTAGTTACGAACGAGTCTCATTGTATCCATCACCAGACTGAATATGGTTAGAGAGTTTCTCTTTTACTTTAACACGAATTTGAAAGTGCTTCACTATATGCAACGGAAACTCTGTCACGTGCATTATCTGGCTTCACTACATACCCCACGCCCCCACCACGACGCCATCTGATTGGCTGACGGCTGTGTGTCTCCATCAATCATTGGTTAGCATAAAAAGGCACGAAATCAATACCACGTGCGTATGTTCACACATTCTGTGAGTTAATTCAGTGAATGATATATATCAACGCCATTCGAAAAAAACATAGTTCCGGATAAAAGTTATCAATGACTGACACAACGCTGCAAATAGCTAATCATTAAAACACAATCATTTATATTGACATTAATGCTAAAATGAAGTGAAACAAAATATAATCATCAAAAATATTGCGGAAATAACCGAGGAATTCCAAATGAAGTACCTGTAACTTTCCTAAAAACTCGTCACCAAAATTGAGAAAATCATCCTCCAGTGTGAGCCACATAACATCAGTGGTGTTCTGATGGTTCGACATTCTGCCTCTGTGTATTACTTGTAATACTGAGAGTGGCGTTCACTTGTGGGCCTTATATCATATCCCACAATGCATCACCTTATTCAAAAGCTGTGGCATCGGTTCACAGGGAAGAATGTTTTCGTAATATCAGAGACCTTATGTTTCCGGATGACCAAATGCCAAAATATGTGAATTACCAAACACAAACATTGCAATTTTCACAAAAGGATTAACTGGAACTTATACTCCTCTAACAAGTCGCAAAAACAGTCCTGGGTTATTATTTTTTTCATTTTTCATTTTGATTCCGAAATAAAGGGGGGGGCTGGGAATTGGAATGAGCAAAAGAATACAGTTGAAGGGAATGGAATATTTGGGGATAATACGAACATATGAATTTCTTGTATTTTCATTTTATGTATTTGTCGAATGTGATACAAATTATATAAGGTCATACAAGAAACGCGATGTCCATTGTTTAAATGCCAATGATCTATTAATTATTTCCTCATCAACAAATATTCATAATATCAAGCAGCTATTTTGATTACAATTTATTCCCAAATTCCGAGAGCATAAAATCGAAAAAGCATATATATATATATATATCCCTGGAGAGTAAAGAACAAAACATGTTGGAGAAACATGTGTTTTATATATATATATAAACATGTATATATCTCCCAGCAACTTCCCTGTAACGCTGCTCGTGCATGTTGATATCCAGCCAGGAGTCTCTGTAGAAACTCACTATAGTCTCGGTTTCAGTGCATTGCTCTCCCTGCTGAAAGCGGACGCATTGCTCTACTGATAAGGTAAGTACTCTGAAAACCAAGGTTCGACTCGCAAAGAGGTGACCGTTTATCAGTTATTTCACAAAGCCTAAGAGCCCTTTGGATATACAAACAACGTTAGAAGGAACTCAGTCTCTGTCTCGTGCTGAAAAACACTGACGCGCCATAAAATATAACTCACTCATACACATGTATGTTTAACTGCAACCTATTGACACATGCAGGATTCATTTGCATGTTTGGTGACGAATGGACATTGCAGAAATATGTATATATCACAGCTATCGTATATTGTACATAGACAAGGTTTATGAATATCACACGGGCGTATAAGCAGATTTGGGTTCAATACTGTTTTATTCCCCAACGAGAGATCAGAGAATGACGTCATTTTTCACGTGGCAGCGTCATCTCAACCACCGGGTGCTATATGACGTCACTATCTGACTATATGAAAATGTTCAATATTTTATGTGCTTTATTTATCATACAAAGGAACCGGCCGCGATTACTTTTGAATATTACAAACGAGTATTGAAATATCTGTACGAGAAAGGTATTCCGAGAGATTAAGAGGATCAAGACTTGACAAATTTGTCCCCTGAAACCACCCGAGAAATGCTTTCCGTTCGCACAATTGGCAAAATTTATAACAGTTTGTGAATGTATTATCTATCTAAGCGTATTCGTGCACGTGAACGTATATAACTAATTTTATTTTAATATATTATTGTGAATCATTTGCAACTGTACGAGCTTGACAAAAAACTGCATTCTTTCTTTCAAAAGTAGAGAAACCGTTGCCACACCACAACAGAAATGCGTTCACTCATGCTAGGTCACATGACTTAGGAGGATATCACGTGATATCGCGGAAAAACAAATGCCCCCTTACCTTCTCGCTTGATAACTCATCACGATGTTTTTGCAACCATATTTTCCTAGGATCCCTCTTATGACTGCCAAGCCGTTTCGGGAATACTCTGGCTTTTCGACTTCGCTTACATGGCCTTACGTTTCCTTCTGTCGCTTCGTGTCTCAATCGTTGAACTCCGGCGCCGATCACATCCGAACGGCATGTTTTAGAAAACGCAGTTGGGATAATTGTTCTATGTGTCCGAGTCAGTCTGGCTGGCAACATAAATTTAGTTGATGTCACTTTCACTATGATTTTGATTTCGCCTTTGAAAGCCATAACTATATAGCGTCTGTTCTCTTCGAAGGATATTGTGGCTAAGAACTTGACGAACAAGCCCGTCCCGGTTTTATAACTGCGCTTTGACAGCCTGATTCACATGCGCCCGCGTCGATACATCACGTGTGCAAAGGCTCGTCACTCATGAAAAGTCACATGTGACGGTATGTGAAACAACACTCACCCACGCGTGATCCACGTCATGGATTGGTTCAATTTGTAAAAAATAACTGCACAAGCATGATGCGTCGCCAAGGGAGGCTTTTGTCGAGTTATTTTTGTCGTGTAAGCAGAAGTAATACCCGAACACGTGGAAACCGGCCGGCGACCTCATGTTGTATTCGCGTATGATTTAGTTACGTGGCATGACGTACGTCTAAATCATAAAGTTGATGACCGTTTGATGATACTTAAAAGGATGTTTTATTAAATGAAGCCACCGTCTTTTTGGTCTCTTTGTGTAAAACCTCGCTTTGTCAGGAAAAAAATAAGCGCTATTTTACAGCGTCCAAAGAATACAGTTTGGTATTTGTATTTATTAAAAGACCCAAATCGTCCCTGAAAATGAAATGATTGATTCCTGTTAGTACACAATATGTGTCTTTATTTTCTGTGAACACTTACTTTATTCCATTTTATTCCTTATCAGAATGGTTACATCGTCAGATCCAGAAAGGCAACATTTTTGAATACCGAAAATATTAAACAGTTCAGAAATGTACGCGTGTTACCTAGAACAACGTTAGACCGTTTCGATGGTGGTCTGGTGGTTCGATCCTCTGTCGCCTTACACCAAACATTGTTCTGTTTGTTACCTTGTCTGGGGCTCGTCATTAATGAAATACGCTGTTAACATGCGGCATGGTATATTCCAGTGCATTAATCATTACTTTGTATCATAATTTCGAGATTACATTACGAGGAAGATGTTCCCGTGAAGTCCTTAATTGTACTGCCCGCTTATCTGGGATAGAATAACTAATAGTTCATGGACGTGTCATCAGTACAACCTTGGAGTAAGGCTAGACTGGTAGAGTTACTACACAGCTATGGACGTGTCATTCAGTACAACCTTCGAGTAAGGCTAGACTGGTAGAATTACTACACAGCTATGGACGTGTCATCAGTACAGCCTTGGAGTAAGGCTAGACTGGTAGAGTTACTACACAGCTATGGACGTGTCATCAGTACAACCTTGGAGTAAGGCTAGACTGGTAGAGTTACTACACAGCTATGGACGTGTCATCAGTACAGCCTTGGAGTAAGGCTAGACTGGTAGAGTTACTACACAGCTATGGACGTGTCATCAGTACAGCCTTGGAGTAAGGCTAGACTGGTAGAGTTACTACACAGCTATGGACGTGTCATCAGTACAGCCTTGGAGTAAGGCTAGACTGGTAGAGTTACTACACAGCTATGGACGTGTCATCAGTACAACCTTCGAGTAAGGCTAGACTGGTAGAGTTACTACACAGCTATGGACGTGTCATCAGTACAACCTAAGGCTAGAGTAAGGCTAGACTGGTAGGAGTTACTACACAGCTATGGACGTGTCATCAGTACAGCCTTGGAGTAAGGCTAGACTGGTAGAGTTACTACACAGCTATGGACGTGTCATCAGTACAACCTTCGAGTAAGGCTAGACTGGTAGAGTTACTACACAGCTATGGACGTGTCATCAGTACAACCTTCGAGTAAGGCTAGACTGGTAGAGTTACTACACAGCTATGGACGTGTCATCAGTACAACCTTCGAGTAAGGCTAGACTGGTAGAGTTACTACACAGCTATGGACGTGTCATTCAGTACAACCTTCGAGTAAGGCTAGACTGGTAGAGTTACTACACAGCTATGGACGTGTCATCAGTACAGCCTTGGAGTAAGGCTAGACTGGTAGGGTTACTACACAGCTATGGACGTGTCATCAGTACAGCCTTGGAGTAAGGCTAGACTAGTAGGGTTACTACACAGCTATGGACGTGTCATCAGTACAGCCTTGGAGTAAGGCTAGACTAGTAGGGTTACTACACAGCTATGGACGTGTCATCAGTACAGCCTTGGAGTAAGGCTAGACTAGTAGGGTTACTACACAGCTATGGACGTGTCATCAGTACAGCCTTGGAGTAAGGCTAGACTGGTAGAGTTACTACACAGCTATGGATGTGTCATCAGTACAGCCTTGGAGTAAGGCTAGACTGGTAGAGTTACTACACAGCTATGGACGTGTCATCAGTACAGCCTTGGAGTAAGGCTAGACTGGTAGAATTAATACACAGCTATGGACGTGTCATCAGTACAGCCTTGGAGTAAGGCTAGACTGGTAGAATTACCACACAGCTATGGATGTGTCATTCAGTACAACCTTGGAGCAAGGCTAGACTGGTAGAATTAATACACATACATGGATGTGTCATCAGTACAGCCTTGGAGTAAGGCTAGACTGGTAGAATTACCACACAGCTATGGACGTGTCATCAGTACAGCCTTGGAGTAAGGCTAGACTGGTAGAATTACCACACAGCTATGGATGTGTCATTCAGTACAACCTTGGAGCAAGGCTAGACTGGTAGAATTAATACACATACATGGATGTGTCATCAGTACAGCCTTGGAGCAAGGCTAGACTGGTAGAATTAATACACAGCTATGGACGTGTCATCAGTACAACCTTCGAGTAAGGCTAGACTGGTAGAATTACTACACAGCTATGGATGTGTCATCAGTACAGCCTTGGAGCAAGGCTAGACTGGTAGAATTAATACACATACATGGACGTGGCATTCACAGTGTGAAGTAAGCCTATATCTGGTGTCCACCGCCGTGATATTGTTGGAATATTGCTAAAAGCGGCGTAAAACTAAACCCACTCACTCACACATTCAACACGGCTTTGGAGCAAGGCTAGACTATTATAATTTGTACTCATCCATGGACTACTTCAAAGCTTTCGGCCGTGGGAGCCGTGTCAATTTACACTTATCAGAGGGGTACACAAAGTCTGCAGTCTAGACTACCAGTTGTCCGACTTCCATTTTTGTGGAAGCCGCGGTGGTTGAGCGGGTTAGGCGGCTGACTTTGTGTGGTTTAGGTGCCTAACTCTGACGGTGTAGGTTCGAATCTCGGATGGGACTCAACCCAACAATAGTACTAGAATCTGTACTTTACCAAGAAAGTGTAATCCCAAATATACCACATGGTTAAATTCATGGACTTCAGTACAGCCTTGGAGCAAGGCTAGACTGGCACTGGCTAAAGTCCGGATCAGTGCACTCAACCACACACACATGTGCAATCATCGTGAACACTACGCTAAACCCCATTTCACCTGACCTCACCTCTACTAGGACAGCAAACATCCTTTCTATATGTGATTCAAGAATCATGGAAACCTTAGATTAATGCGATCATTAGACTTGCACAGTCTCCAGTGTAAATGTAATTTCTAAATATAAATAATATTAACACATTGTCCCCCTAACAGACTGGCGTTCATAGCTTGTACTGTCCGCGTATCTAGATTGCCTCTTAAAGGATAGAAACACTACTGTACATCCCTGGGTTTAGCATTCAGTACAGCCTTGGAGCAAGGCTATGTGATCATGTACAGTGTAGGGCAAGGCATAGACTAACAACTAGTATCTGAAATGAACATATTTTACTGAAAAACAAGTTTATAGTAAAAAATATATATATATAATGAAAAGGAGCCCTGAGACTTTCTTCATTTTCAGAGTGGAAATCTAGACTTGCCACATTTTCTAGACTTGCGTGGGCTTTCTTTGATATATTTGCTTCAGGGTCTGTACGAGAGACTAGGCAAGGCACAGTTTCACCACAGACCGGATAAATGTGTCGGCCCATTGTGTAACTTGACACCAACACTGAGACAGATATATGGGTTATCACCAGTTTCATGACTTCCATACATGCAGGAAGCAATACCAGTACCATATGATTACAGGGTTATTGTGACATAGACCAGAGGATGACAGAAATAGCAATGTGTCACGCTCTAACCAGTCAATAGTCATAGTCGTCTCATGAGAAATGCGGAGTGTACTGGGAACATAAGATATGCGTATAAACAGGTCATGTAAGGTGGCATGAGTGGTTCAACCAGTGTGTATATACAGGTCATGTAAGGCGACGGGCGGTTCAACCAGGGTGCATATACAGGTCATGTAAGATGACAGGGGTGGTTCAACCAGGGTGTATATGCAGGTCATGTAAGATGACAGGGGTGGTTCAACCAGGGTGCATATACAGGACATGTAAGATGACAGGGTGGTTCAACCAGGGTGCACATACAGGACATGTAAGATGACAGGGGTGGTTCAACCAGGGTGCATATACAGGTCATGTAAGATGACAGGAGGTGGTTCAACCAGTGTGTATATGCAGGTCATGTAAGATTACACAGGGTGGTTCAACCAGGGTGCATATACAGGTCATGTAAGATTACACGGGGTGGTTCAACCAGGGTGTATATGCAGGTCATGTAAGATTACACAGGGTGGTTCAACCAGGGTGCATATACAGGTCATGTAAGTAAGATGACAGGGGCGGTTCAACCAAGGTGGCATGAGTGGTTCAACCAGTTTGTACAAACCAGTGGCCATGTAAGATGACAGGGGGTGGTTCAACCAGGGTGTATATAAAGGTCATGTAAGATGACAGGGGGTGGTTCAACCAGGGTGTATATAAAGGTCATGTAAGACTACACGGGGTGGTTCAACCAGGGTGCATATACAGGTCATGTAAGGTGGCATGAGTGGTTCAACCAGTTTGTATAAACAGGTCATGTAAAGTGGCATGAGTGGTTCAACCAGTGTGTATAAACAGGTCATGTAAAGTGGCATGAGTGGTTCAACCAGTGTGTATAAACAGGTCATGTAAGATGACAGGGTGGTTCAACCAGTGTGTATAAACAAGTCATGTAAGGCGACAGGGGTGGTTCAACCAGTTTGTATAAACAGGTCATGTAAGGTGGCATGAGTGGTTCAACCAGTTTGTACAAACAGGTCATGTAAAGAGGGTGGCACCAGGGTGCATATACAGGAGTGGTTCAACCAGTGTGTATAAACAGGTCATGTAAGATGACAGGGTGGTTCAACCAGTGTG